GATGCTGCTAAACATAGCAAGCTATCGGAAGAGTGTTTACCAACGACAAACTCGTCGGGTTTAAACTTCTGGCTGGCCACGTCGTAGGGTCATCACTACCTCACTGGGGTGGAGAATGATCTGTAGCTGCAAATGAATCCCCAAAATCAATAGCTTTTTAAGTGTTCGACATTGGATGCTGACCACATCAGTTTTGGTGGACTCGATTAGCTGAAGGCGTTCGGTCATGCATCAGCACCAGATCACGTTACAGCACAGCGTGGGAGGCATTTCCTACGGTCATTAGCCAGATTAGATCAGTCACGTCCCGATATATTGATAACCCATCAAATATATCTTTCAAACTCCTCGCTTCTGACTTCTGATTTTAACTGGGTGGGCGCGATTCGATTGTAGAAGTTGTCACTGGTTAATAGTTGTCAAACTACAATACTGGTGATATCTTCAGCTTGTTCAGTATTATGCGTTGAAATGACTCGCTTAAGTCCACTGGAATGTCTCTTAAACATAAAGCACTACAAACATCACTTAATAGTTATTAAAAAATTTATTTCTTGAGATAGTACCTTAATAACTGAAGAAAGTGCTAAAATCATTTAGGACTTGCCGGTTACTCGAGATTTCTTCCTAATTCATGCGGAAAACAACCATTCACACAAACTCAGAGTATCTTTAGCTGTTAATTTATTCTCAATACGCAGTTTTGTGGACCCCAACAAATTTTAAACAAGGACACTGAGGTTCAGTAGGGTAATTTGTATTCCAGGTCAAGTTACGAAGCAACAAAAGAGCCAAATTGTACACTACAGAACAGAAGAAGCTAAATTAACGCTTTTCGTATTGATATCGCAAATTTACTGCAGAAAAACACGACTCAAATACGAGAAAACCTGATATTCGTGCAACCCAACGGACAGCCAACAGACCCCCATGGAAGAGTCCTTGAATGAGACAGTGGTTCCCAAAAACCCTGTGGCTGGTTGGACTCACGTTAACAGGAGTAAAAAGGCTCAAGCATCCCCGCCGAAGCTGAATATCCCAAGTACCGTGCGGAATTCAATTGATGCTTTGGCCTCACAGTCCACCCCCAAGACTGTTCGTCCGGTCATCACTGAGCCCAGGAATCGAAAACGCGCCTCGACATCCAAACAACAAGATACCAAACCTAGACGCCCTTGAAAACCTGGGAAATCAATTACGGTTCGTGATGACTCTGGCATAATTATGAACCTTATTGACAACCCCGACCTTCCTCTCAGTATGCAGGACAAAAATGATAGGATGGTCTGGGGAGAATTGAACAAGAGGCTTGAACTCCGTGGAATAGAGCCTTTTACGGTCACATGGCTCACCCGAGGGAAGGACTCTAACCATCTAAACCATCCGAGGCTGCTTCATGTTACACTTAAGAATACCTCCGACGTGGAGGACGTCCTGCTAGCGAGTCACTTACTGAAGTCCGATGGGAACGTAAGAATACTGCCCGACGTACCGTATTGTGAACGAAATCTCATCCGGACACATCCCTAAAGAATCTCGCGAGACAGTTTTCCGTGGAAGAAATATCATTGTGCAAGGTGTACCGGAAAAAATGGACCCAACCCAAGCAAACTCTGATATTCGGGAATGGAAATTCATTAGGAATTCCTTAAAACTCAAGAACATATTGACCCAACAGGTAATGCGACTAGCCAAGAGAGACGGAGACTCTAGGCCCCGGCTGTTGAAGATAACCTTCCCCTCCTCCCACATGGCGGCTGCTACTCTGGAAGCATTTCGTGCCAATAGACGTCGGCTGCCAACTGGCATCCATATGTATCCGGATAGGCCCCACGACAGTAGGATCAAGCACAAACGAAAGCTGGAGCTGACAATTCCACTCGTGGACTGTCTTGATCATAAAAAAAAACGTGTAAAGGACAGGGACTACCAACTCGGTAAACATCGTATAGGTAGGCTACCTGTCCACTCATACACGGCTCATATAGACAAACAGGAAGAAGCTCACGCGTTCCAAATTGAAAGCATAAACTGCCTATACACGAACGCCGCGAGCTTGCCAAACAAAATGGATGAGCTACGTGAACTTAGCAACGCTAATGATGCCCATCTGATAGGAATATCCGAAACTTGGATAACGTCTCAGTTTACGGACCAGGAGTTAGCAATAACTGGGATGTCTTTGTTTCGCAACGACAGAAAAACAGGAATGGGGGGTGGAGTAGCACAATACATACGGTCATGCCTGGATGCGCACCAACTTCACAACCAAGAGTTTCACAATCTTTATGAGTCAGTATGGTGCTCAGTAAGATTGTCTACCACCTCGAGGTGTCTAGTTGGGGTCATCTACAGGAAGCCCACTGCCTACATAGAGTATGACAAACGTCTGCTGGAAGGATTAACTCGCTCTACGCGTCTCGGATTCTCTCAAATCCTGATTCTAGGGGACTTCAATCTTTCTACAATCAACTTCATGGAACATACATACATTGGAGGTAACAACTCTACTGAACCTCTGTTCTTCAACCTCATCGGTGACCTGGGATTATTCGAAAATGTGCAGTCGACAACTCGTTGGAGAAACAGCCAGACGCCGTCGCGCTTAGACTGGGTATTCACAAATGAAGAATTCCTAGTTGACGACCTCTCAATCCTGGCTCCCCTGGGGAAAAGTGATCACGCCGTAATATCAATCAGCTTTGTCAGCAAAACGGAGCTAAGATATCCCACTGGCAACAGACGCTGGAATTTCAAACGGTTGAATGTGTTAGCTTCACAGGACTATCTACAACAGGTGGATTGGGATGTTCACCCTCAACTTGAAGTGGATGCTCATTGGGATTTTTTACTGCACACGATCTTATGTGCTACTGAGCATTCAGTTCCTAAAATGGTCCCAAAAAGCTACAAGCAACCTCCAATCATCAAGAACCGCACCCGTCGTTTGCTAAGCCGCAAAAGGCACTGTTGGGCCGAATACAAACGAACTGACAACAACGGCGCGTACAGGCAATACAGACATATAAGGAACATATGCACAAAGGCAATAAGAGGAGACAGACTTCAGTACCAGACCAAGCTTACCGTCAAATTTGTCTCCAATCCGAAAAGCATATTCCGTTATGCAGCTTCTCTTCGACAAGGCAAAACTGGAGTTTCCCAACTGCTAGGTCCTAATGGCCCGACCCACATCAACTATATTGACGAAAGCTTCACCTGCACCTGTACAGGACTTTTCGAAGTGGACCTGAGTGCTGACCTGGTGCTCCGTAAACTGCAGCACCTAAGAAAAGACACTTCTCCCGGTCCGAATATGGCTCATTCTGCTGTATTGAGGGAAGCAGCTTCAATCCTGGTGGCACCACTTAGCGTGATGTTTGCACACTCGCTAAGCAGAGGCAAACTACCGGAAATTCGGAAGCTGGCTCATATCACACCAATTTTCAAAGGAGGTCGACGCAGTGAACCCTCAAGCTACCGAACAGTGGCCCTTCTCTCCATACCTTCCAAAATTATGGAATCCCTAATATACGACGGTATACAAGAGTACTTATCATCCTTAAAGTTCTTCTCACCTCAACAGCATGGTTTCAGAAAAGGTCATTCTTGTATGACCAATCTGCTGACTGCGGTGGATAGATGGACAACCATCCTAGATCGCAAGGGGAAGGTTGACGTCATCTACCTAGATTTCTCAAAAGCTTTTGATAGGGTCAACCACGTATGTCTTATCAAGAAGCTTAGATGATTGGGTATAAAATCCCCTTTGATTGACTGGCCCACTTCATACCTAGAAAACCGACACTTTAAGGTCAGGGTTAACTTCACCCTCTCTCAACCTATGGAACGTCCTAGTGTGGTCCACCAGGGCTCAATACTAGGACCTCCTCTCTTCTTGATTTACATTAACGATCTTCCTCAATAAGTTTCATTAGACTTATTGCTTTTTGCTGATGATGTGAAACTTTGGAGAGAGATACGTAATCATAATGATATACTAGTTCTTCAGGAGGATCTGACCCGACTTCAAAGTTGGGCAGACGATAACGGACTTGCCTTCAACACTTCAAAGTACAAATTAGTCCATCTGCGACATGTTGCAGACTATAGTTATAACTTAGGTAACTCCCCCCTAGAAGTTTCCCAAGTCGAAAAAGATTTGGGAGTGTTGGTTCTTTATGACCTGAAATCGTATGCGAACTGTGACAAAAACGCCTTTCAAGCAAACTTTGCACTGGTAACATTGAAGCGTAATTTTGACCAGTTTGACGGTAGAACCCTACACATAATCTTTAATAGTTTTATTCGTCCCCATTTAGAGTACGGAAACATAGTATTTCCTCCCTCTCTCAAAAAGGATAAGGACACTCTGGAACGTATCCACCGTCGAGCCTCGAAATCAGTTGGTGGACTCAAATTCAAACCTTATGAAGAGCGCCTCCTATCACTTAACCTTTACCCGTTAAAGTACAGGCGTCTTAGAGGTGATCTTATGACTTAGAGTATCCTTAATACTTCTGGTCATCCCCTTAAACAACTTCTTAAGCTTAGTCATAACACTAACCTCAGAGGTAACACCCAGAAATTGGAGACCCAACATAGCAGAACGGACTGCAGAAACAACTTCTACTCCGTAAAAGTTGTCAAGTGCTGGAATTCGCTGCCGACTGAGTTAGTCCAAGTGACTTCACAGGAGTCCTTTAAGAGGAAACTTGACTTATTCTTAAGGACAAGGGATAACTTATTATGATTTACCAAATTCTTTTTTTCCTCTATTATCGTTCATATACCTAGGTGTTTGCCTGGAGGCATTGGTGATCCACTGCTACTAGACACGGAAGCCCGTTAAGCGAAAGCTTCTTTCATTCCATCCTCAACCATTTGAACCATTTGAACTCAAATACAGAAGGACCGCCTCTTGTTAGGCCGTTCAAGGTCGTTCAAACGAAACGGCGGGCGACTTTGAAAGGCTCTGGCTTTTCTTACCGTGCTCGTTAATGCCGGTCAGAGTTAAGAAGTCAGTCTCTAGGTTTCTAAACCACCAGGTCGCTCATAGAATAAGACTATTGGAATCAGCCTTACTCGAAATCCATGATCTTGATAACCGCATGAAAATGGAACTATTAGCTTTGAACACCCTTGCTAATCCAAATGACGACGAATTTTGTGAAGAGGATTGTATGACATATGTGTCTGCGGAAGACGTAAGTTATATTGTTCGGATAATAAGCGTCATTGTTTCAAGGCTAACTACCAGGACATAGTTTATGTTAACTAGCTTACCAGGGGAACAGAAATGCTTTGTAGGAAATCTATCCTGTAATAATGTTTTGAGCCTACTGCTAAAAATTTAACAATATTTGGTGGAAACTACTCGAGACTGTGTTTTTATGTTAAGTGTCGTAATTTCCTGTACGTAATCTGCACATCGTTATTTCGTCGACCAAATCTAAGTAGTGACATTAAATTTTATGCAACTAGTATAGTGCATATATCATTACTTAGAAATTAAGCTACATCGTTCTGTCACGAATTCTTTGATCTGCTGACTACTCCTATTCGGTTGTCCAGCTATCACATTCGAGTTCTTCATATATTTCTACAGTTCAAATATTAGTACTGCTAAAATTAAAAGTATTTGCTTTGTTCACAGTAGTTATGCAAATAGTATTCCCAATTGCTTCATGTTATGATGAGTAGGTTCTGTTCTAAAAATAGTTGACTACCAATTTACAAACATAATCAGGTTGATCTAAAAATCGATGTTACACGTAACTGACAGATATATAAAGTTAGACTTTAAATAAATGATTATACATTCCTTCCAGAGGACAATTGTCTCGGAATTTATAGTAATGCAGGGCAAAATTCGGGACCCAGTTATTCTTAGTTGCTAGGGGGGACTGGAACATGTGTAGTGTCGAAAGGCTATTGCGGTGACATTACCTTTAAAATGCGCGATGTCTAGTAATAAGAAGTTCAATGTCCGTATTTTTTTCACGAGTTGAACGTACTACATTCACAAGCGTAGGCTGTTTTAGATCAGTGGTAACTATCAAAATAGCTAGCAAACGATGGTATTGATCTTGTTCCATAGACAAATCTTGGCAGATGATCCTAGTCTGAGAAATTTACTTGCAAAGTGATTAACATAGAGTAAAGTTTCAGAAGGCGACAACTTCGTTTCTGAAAAATATAACAAGGTGTTCATGGGTACTAGATTGAAGCAGTGGATGTAAAAGATGGTTTATCTCATCCAGTTTCAACTTGTTGATTAAGAGTATGTAGATGACAATTCTACTTGGCAAAGACGCTGACAAAAACAATCTCCGTTCCTCTAAATTCTGGGCTGGTCTGGTTGAGTCTATGTCTAACCCAACCTTGTGCAGTGAAATTGTTTGAGACATTAGTCTCTTTAATTATTTTAGATGTCTTATCTACCGTGGTAGGCTGGTGGCTATCTTGGCACAGATATACAGATATCTTTCGGCTACTGTAGGGCATGTTCGCCTTCTAATTAGAGTGCAAGTATACTGTGTGTTAGTTAATTTTACATTGCTTTGCTGCTGTAAAAGGTGGTTTGTGACAGTATAGGACTTTCGCAAGTCACAAGTATATAATTATAGATGTCTGTGGATTACTCCTGGCGTCCAGCGATATCACAAAAGCGTTCCCTTCGCTCTGGGCAACTGGCTAGTACCACTGTCCCTCACACTTTAATGTGGCTCATACCTAATAAAGGAGCTAGTATGATCTTTCATCATTTATTTTAGGTGAAGACAGTAGGTAAATGTGACAAGACCATGTGTAATCAGTGCCTTAGCCGTTTTTTGCTGATAACACTCACGAAAGTAGCATTTAAGGCTTTTTAACAATTTGGATTCGACTTTCATCAATAACTGACAGTTGTAAACCAGGAAAAGGTGGACATCTGTTTCCTACTCTAAAACTCGAGATAGACTACTTTCAGTCCTGCATAGGACTTATCAATGTTATGTTCACCTCCAAACACGGTTTTATTTGATCTTAGTGCAGTGTGCTGAAAAGTTTGGAACCGAGAAATAATTGTCCAGTATTATTCAGTATTCAGTGCTTTGCCGTTGATGTCAGGCCATGGGAAACTATCTTTTTCTGTTTTTGATATTATTAAATATTATGGTGTTGTATATATTTAGTTTTTTTAACTTATCACCTATTTATTTTTTGGTAGGAATTACTAAAAAGCCATGAGAATTTTAATGATTCTAACTGTGGTGTCAATTATGAGTTGGTGGATTTGAACGATGATGTTACAGCTTATGAATCATCAATTAATAAAATCGACGAACAAATTCAATCAATCGATGTCTGCAAATCAAAGTCCTGCTTTACTAAGGGTCAAAATATATCTACGCTAAAAACATTCGATTTTCTTACTGGTCTTATTAATGATCGATCGTTAAAGTTGACTTCTTGTCTACCTGTTGATATAGATCATTCTTCAGAGTAGTTGTTTCCTATACATGCATTTTTGTACAAAAGATTGTATTCAGAACATTTGTAAATATATATGTACCCACTTATTCAATACATATTCATTTATACTTACTGTTGTGATTTTTGAAAAAAATTGTGTTGATAAAATCGTATGATCTGCAAAACTGCTAGTCGTTCGCTGAATCCATTTCTTTGGTTATGAAGTATATAACACTAGGTCAAAAGTAAAATTTGTGAGCTGGAAACTGAGACATTTTGTTGAGCACCTAGCTTGTCGAATGCTCGGATGGTTTTCTCATGGGTGTTGGGTCGCCTGACCTGCCAGGAGAGATGAAATAATCCATTGTTGTGTACCAGAGTCAGTGAGAGCCGTATTTATTTATATTTATACTCCTTCATGTTGTCACACCTAGCCGTAGCTGCTACCTTGACACAGTGGTTCAGCTTGATCATTGAGATGGCTTACTCTTTATACGCGGACTAGAACACTTGTTCCTGCACATTTTCACTAGTTTCTACGTAGCTTTTGACTGACTGAATCTTTACAGATCAGTTCGTTTGTAGTACATCTGTAATATAGTTGCCCATAATTCATACATAGTCTGGATAAGATACTGACCTCAGCCCTCATAACTTCATTAAAACTAAGGTGTTAAATATGAGTTGAAACAAGTGTCTGAGGTCCATAAGCTTTTCTTCAGGTCTTCGGGAGAAACTAGTAGTTACATCGTGGTATTGTTTCTTTTCGACTACCACTATTGTGTACAGATGAATTTAACATTCTATGAAACGCCTCGACTGTTCGCCTCTCTTTATAGTTGGAAAAGCCTTTCTGATCTATTTCCATATTAATATCAATGCGGTGGTTGTTGAAAATAGCAAATATTGCTATTGTCGATTTAGTTTGTAGATTCTTCAACTCTACAGGATTATCAGGCACTAGTCGAGATTTCATGAGAAGACTCTTCCAATGGTTGGAAATAGGAATAAATCTGAGATTAGTAAACTTTCCAAAGAACTAAATCTTTCTTTTGGCGTTTCCTTATTGTTTACCTTATATCTCGAATTCGACACCACATCACGTTCTTACAGGTTACCGAAATTTCACAAACCAAGTACCTATGGGGTAAAGACTGTTCAAATAAGCAATACCAAATTGGAGGGCTAGGTGAAGGGGAGGAAAATAGGTCAATTAGATTATGAATCATTAACTATCTGAGCTGCATATACGGTGTACCGGGTCAATGATTTTTGGTATTGTGCTTTGTGATAAAGTCTTACCAGTTGATGTCCTCGGATAAATGGGAATCAACAGTACAAATACTGACTTTCTGGAGACGTTCACAGTAGCCCAAGATATTTCTAATTACTTAGCTTTGGATAGATCTTGAGAAATATTTGACTTTAGATAATAAGCGTCGGTTTGAGTGAATTACACACTTATGTAGTTCATCACATTGGATTATTTAAGTAATATTGTTAGTAATAGTTATTTATCAGAAACGTATTTACTGTTAATTATTATTGACCTAGTCTTTAACTCAATCGACTTTCAGTTATTGAGATATGGGATACAGCGCCGCCCATCTGTTTCTGTTCAAGCAGTCGGATAATGTCGATAGCCTTCACTTCAAATGTTTTAATCAAAGTCGAATACTTAATTCACCTACTGTGTATGCATATATATATATATATATATATATATATATATATATATCACTTTTTATTTTAGTATTCATCACAGTCATCATTATTATCATTATCACCTGAACAATTGAGAATATCCAACGAATTGTCCCTAGATAATGAATTAAAATATCGTAATTTACATGGTAAACATTATACTTCAAGTGTTGATGGTGATTTCTATCCGAATTCAGATTCCAATAATTCATTATTATTTGATACAGATATATTAAAAAATTCTTTAAACAATAATAGTATAACACAAATTGAATGTATGAGACGTCGTTATTCAGATCATAATGATTCACTATCTGGTATACGATATATGGAAAATGTGTATATACGTGAAGAAGATAATGATAGTGATTATGTTGATGATGATGATGGTAGCATCAATTTAGATTCTGTCAATAATCTAATTTCAACGAAAAAATGTACATATGCTTATATTGGATTATTATTAACTTTTATCTGTATTGCATCAATCCTATTTGTATTTTACATATATCCAAGTAAGTGTGTATTGTAAGAGTTCATTTGACTTGTTTGTTTGAAACTTGGTTAAATATACTTTATATGTATTAAAATAGTCAAGTCATACTAAAAATGACATAAATTCCCTTTCCTCAACATCATTCTATTTCATTTAATGATTATCCTACAACTTTTTCGATTGATTTATTTCGTAGATTGTCTTAAAACGTCCGCCACCAAATGCCCTGGTACAGCTGAGAGTGGGGAGAGTCAGCTCTTCCTCGAAAAATGCTCTCACATGGCTACGTGCATACAACTACTGCCATAAAAGTCCTACTCATTGCCTTCTCGCGGCATTACTATTGTTTATGAAATTAAGAGGACGAGAAGCGTATGTCCGGCATGGAGAGTCCACCTAGGGGAGTTGGAAAACCCTCATTCCAAACCAACAGTACACATGGACTTTATGATCCTGAGGGAAAAAATGATATATGAACCAATCGTTGGTCACCGGCTACCTTGAGACTGCATCTCCTTAAGTTGATCCACTGCCTTGTGGATCAGACCTTTAGGTCGAAAGCTCTGGGTATGGCCCTCTAGGAGAAGCACCTGCTTTGGTTTGGGTACCCGGGCAGTATCACAGCCCATACACAAATCAAGTGACTTGTGTGATGCATATATATATATTGTTTGTGGGAAATGAAAAAGTAAGCACCAGCTATCATCCCAAGGGACTTTGTAATCATATAAACGAATAAATTACACTCAAAATCTCAAGAGACACTATCTGAAATCTGGTTGTTTCATCTATAAAGCATGGTATCGCCATATAAAGGTTCCTTTCATGATTAGAATTTAGAGATTTGCCCGTTGTATACACTCTACATAGAATTAACTGGGCATTTAACGTGTTTTATCATTTCAAACGTCCTGAGCACTACAAAGAGCTATTTTCACTGTTTGTTAGATATGATCTGATAAGTCATTTATATTATAATTTCACTCAAAAGCCCAACAATAATTTCCTCGTTCATGATTATTGTCTCGTCTTTAAATTATACTTTTTCCAACATTTATTAATACATTAACTTAATTTTATAAACAAAAACTCAGTAGCTAAGTGTATAACACAATGGCGTTTGATGCAAACGGTACTGAATTCGAGACCCAGAGTGAACATCATCTCTGAGATGCAGGTACATCCAGTTGACGAGTCTCAAATGGGACGAAACGCGCGTCAAACTGGATTCCACTGCTAGTCACTATCCATCTTTGTTCATAAAGTTTGTGACTTTAGACAATGTCAAGGCAGTCAGCACAGGATGCACATATGCCAATTAGGGACTGACCAGTTGCAGTCCTAAACAACAATGTGAAGATACAAGTAAACAACACCAAGTGAATTTAACTTAGGTTTTTTGTTGACATCAACTCTGAATCCTGTTAAATTGATATATTGGTTTTTTTTATTTAAATCTACTAGAACACTATTATTCAATCATTTTTTATAAATAAATACAAATCTTCATTTTAGTGTTCATTTCATCGACGCCATCATCATCCTCATCATCTTTTGTTCATGAACAATCTTTATCATCTGTACAAAAAATCAGAACACAAAATCTAACCAATCAGTTGTCTCAAGAATTTCAAGATCAACATAAACGTCTTTGGGCTCAAATTCGTTCTGCTTTAGAATCACCATTTCAACATGAGTAAGTAAATCTTAGTTTTAGATGATTAATTATTGGCTTCTTAATATTTCTGCGATTTTATTCCTTTTGAATTCAATATTTTTGAAAATCTTCAGTACTACAAAAATAATTTTTTTATCAGTGTGGGGTCGTGGAGATTGTTAAGTTTTTGATCGAGATCATGAATGGATGAATGTTAAACCATCATTAAAAACCTGGAAGTACTGAGCAGCCGTTTCTTCCTAGTATGGGCCTCCTCAGCAGTGCGCATCCAGTGGAGTTAATCCGTTTCAGGTAGATACAGGTATCGATTGACCTCAGATAATGGAAGATGGTCGCACAATTTCGTGGATTGGTTGAAGTTGGACATTAACACAGTAGGATGCCGGCTCAGTGGTCTAGAGGGTTCGAGTCCTTCAAACATGACCGTGGATACGCACTGCTAATGAGTCCCATACTAGTACCAAACGACGGCCCAGTACCTCCAGGTTTTCAATGGTGATCTAACATTCGTCGATTCATGATCTCAATCGAAAAATCTTTTATTTTGCTGAGCTACTAATAAATTATTCTTAAGATTACTTATTATTTGTTTATTTGAACACAAATATTGGTACAAAAGGGCACCCAATACATATGCATCACACAAGTCACTTGATTTGTGTGTGGGCTGTGATACTGCTCGGGTGCCCAGACCAAAGCAAGTGCTTTTCCTAGGAGGCCATACTCGGAGCTTTCGACCTAAAGGTCTGATCCACAAGGCAGTGGATCAACGTAAGGAGATGCAGTCCCATGATAGCCGATGACCAACTATTGGTTCATACACGATTTGTTCCCTCAGGATCCTGGAGTCCATGTGCACTATTGGTTTGGAATGAGGGTTTTCCAACTCCCCTAGGTGGATCCTCTATATCCATCAATCTGTTTAGAGCACCGGATATTCTTTTTTCGTCCTCTCAATTTCGTAAACAATAGTAATGCCGTGAGAAGGCAATGATTAGGACTTCCTTGACAGTGGGTATGTGTGAGCATTTTTCGAGGGAGAGCTGACTCTCTCCACTCTTGGTTGTACCAAGGCATTTGGAGGCGAATTTTCTATCTACATCATTTATTCTATAATGTCATGTACTTTTTAAAATAATTCATAAGACTTTTACATGTTTGGCTGTTTATTAATTGTAGATATACAAATCATCAAAGGCACACTACTAATGAAAGGATTCCTCCTATAGTACTTCTCATTGTCAATCGTTACATACATTCAATAGTCAATAACCAATCTAAACAACATCATTCTACACCTAATCACAATGAAAATGTATCGTTTGATTGTTTTATTACACGTCTTGGTCAATTAGTGAATAATTTGTATTTATCAAATTCTAAAAATTCATGTTCAATTCTAAAAGATCACCAATTCAATTCCTTAAATAAACAAAAGGTTAGTAATAATTATCACATTAATAATGCAGTTGCCGTTCCCTCAAGATTGCATGTACACCTTTCTGACGAGTGCCAAATAGCACAAAACCCGGGTCCAGGGTTTCATGTTGAACACTTCCAACCACCATCTTATCTCAACATGGTGCACGCAGTGTCGAGCCACCTAGATTAGTAGCCACATTGCAACTTGATCGATAGCATTCGATCAGCACTAAAGAAGGACTTGATACGCATGACAATGATCACCACCCAGTGATCAATCAATTGTGATAATATATATATATTTTTATTGTATAATTGTTAAGTAGATAAACTAAGCATATTCATGTACTTCTTATTATAAGCTTTGTTTATTACGATACGATTTACCGTTCTTGAATTATACCCAGTCTATTAATTATAGTCTCCCACATTCACAGACACTTTTTGGTTAGATCTTGTACAAATGTTATTTTCTATTTTATGGTGCGATGTGGTCTGTTCGGTTTGTGTATAAACCCCAATATGTTTGAAATATGTGATTCATATCGTTGAGGCTAAGATTAGTGTTCTGGACTCAACAGGCAGCGCTAAACAGGAAGAAGGATTGATAAGTACTCTAGACTGCTCGTACGGGTTTACGCGTTATTGATCTGATCGATAGATCACTGTCCTCTAATTGGCAGTATCATTACGAGGTATGGCAACTTGGATCGATTCATATGTGTGCCTGGTCCTACGTTGTAGCTGACTGACTGACTGAGTATCATTACGTTATATATTAATAGGCTACAAGTCCACAAGATATAACAATTACATTTCGATGTCATACTACTAATTAAAATGGTTGTATGTTCATGTGGTAGTTTAACGGTTAGTCCACTCACTTCTAATTATTGGGCCTTGGTTGTGGTCAGCGTGATAACGGGATTTACAACTTATAGCTGTTTCACTATCGGTCACAATAGTCTAGATGTTTTCATGTATATTCCTTTTAAGTTCCAATATCCTTTCACTGACTTCTTGTTATTCCTCGTTTCATATTCTTTATGTTTAGTTTTTATGGTTACCATTGTTACTATATTACTTTAACCCTCTTTTTAAGTTTATCTGGTCGTGTTGAATTAGTATGACAGTTTGTACCAGTCTATATATTGATTATGACTGATTGGCAACTGGATCGGATGTTAAAACTACCATACATATTCTGGTTTAAGCAGTCAGATAGTAGAAGTAGTTTTATTCCCAATTATCACTCAGTTTTTGTTATCCATAAGTCTTTTTATTTTATTTATTTATTTCAACACATAAATATTGGTACAAGAAAGCACCAGATACATATGCGCCTCACAAATCTCCTTTCATTTGTGTGAGCGCTGCTACACTGCCCAGGTGCCCAAACTGAAGTAGGTGGTTTTCTTAGGGGACCACACACGGAGCCTTTGACCGAAAGATCAGATCCACAAGGCAGTGGAGCATCGTGAGGAGATGCAGTCCCATGGTAGTCGGTGACCATCAATTGGTTCATACATCATTGTTCCCTTAAGATACTGGAGCCCATGTGCACCATTGGTTTGGAATCAGGGAGAGCGGACTCTCCCCACTCTCGGCCGTACCAGGGCATTTTGGGGGCATCCATCAGTCTTTGTATTGGGTGGGGGGTAGTTAAGTCGTTGAAGTGATGAGTTGTATGCTCAAACCCTCATTCACTTACATTTAATAATATTTTCTCTCTTTTTCATTTCAGTTTGATCAAATGAAACTAGAATTTGACAATCAACTTGATGATTTATATAAATCTGGTTCACGTTGTTTTCATTTTACTTCAATTGATTTGCTACCAGCTGAAATAGTTCTATTATTTCATGGTTATACCGATTCAGAGAATTCAATTTATTCTAATTCTATATTATTAATAAGTTTATCAAAAAGATTTGATGTATAGTAAGTTGTATTACATGCCGTTTTTAATGATGATTGACGAATCCCAAATAGGACGAAACGCGCGTCCTGGATTCCACTGCTAACAATTATTCATCTTTGCTTGTGATAATTGAATTGTTTTTTAGTTGAAAGGGTGAACTAATTAAAGCTAGACCACCAGGGAAAAAGTAGAAGCACTGGACGGCTGTTTTGTCCTATTGTGGAACTAAATCTCCACACAAAAAACCCCTTCTGAATTGTTTCTAATGATTATAAACGTTGAACAATTTCACTGATCATTATAATTCTGTATATGAAGTAAAGAACAGTTCGTTTGATTAAAATTATTCCTTTTTTGTCAATTTTGAACCTTCATTTATATTAAAGTACTTTCTGAATAACAAAACTATAGTTACAACAACCTCCAAATGCCCTGGTACGGACGAAAGTGGGGAGAGTCCACTCTCCCTCTTATTGTTCTCACATGTCCACGCATATATAACCTCTGTCAGAGAAGTCCTACTCACTGCCTTCTCGTGGTGGGGGTGTTGTATACGAAAGTGAGAGGACGAAAAGCGAATGTCCGGCGCCTTAACCGGGTTGGTGGACACGGAAAGTTCACATAAGGGAGATGGAAAACCCTCATTCCAAACCAATGGTGCACATGGGCTCCAGTATCCTGATGGAACAAATGGCGTATGAATCAATCATTGGTTATCGGCTACCATGGGACTGCATCTTCTTACGATACTCCGCTGCCTTATGGACTTTTAGGTCAAAGGCTCCGAGTGTAGCTCCCTAAGAAAACCATCTGCTTCAGTTTGGGCACCTGGGCGGTATGACAATCCTCACACAAATCAAATGAGATTTGTATGGCGCATATATATCTGGTGTCCTCTTGTGCCATTATTTATGTGTTTAAATAAATAATAACGTCGACTTAGTAGTTGTAATGGTTAAACATTCTTCATGAAATCCTTAGGTCCTAGATGCGCTCTCATGATAAGGTTGTGGATGGGTATCTGTGATGAATAGAAACTACACAGTAGATCCATTTCCACAAAACCCACTTCATTTATACACTTGTTGTTGTTGTTTATTTATCTTTTTTGTCCAAGTGAATCATTGAATTGTACAAAAAAATCGGAATATATTTTACCTGGTTGTCAAACAGCTAGTCAATTTGAACATCAAGTAAATCAGTTTTTACGATCTTTATGGAATAAATATTTGGGTAATGAAGAGGTAGATGCATTAATTTCACGTTTAACTACAAATATTATTATATTTCATACATATGATTATAATAATAATAATTTGGAAATCAATTCAACTTGTACCCAATAAGATAAATATGCACCACCTATTCCACATAGGAAGCCTGTAATATGAACCTATTTTGTATGAATGAGAATATTAAATTGATCAATCAATATAAATATTGACTTTGTATTTTCATTCATTATCTGGGTTCAGCGTTAATAGCAATGAATAAGGGTTCTCGGTTCGATCTCCGATGGCTTTGTACTATTGAATGGTTCCACATTAGAAAAAAACGGGTGTCCAGGGATTTCTTGCCCCTAAGGTCAGTTGGTAATATAAAATAGGAAATTCAATAATCTCTACAAATTTAGACAGTAACAACAACAAGGTTTGCAGGATGAAATGAATTCATCAGTTTATTTTCACGGTTTCTCATCAGCTGCATACAACCTAAAATTAAAATTATTGACATAATTAGTAAGCAAAGATGGATAGTGCCTAGCAGTGAAATCCAGTTTGACGCGCGTTTCATCCTATTTGGTACTCGTCAGCTGGATGTACCTGCATGATGTTCAATCTGGGACTTGAACCCAGTACATTTCGCTTCAAACGCTATCGCGTTATCCACTCGGACGAAACGCACGTCAAAATGGATTCCACTTGCTAGCCACTATCCATCTTTGCTTACCATGCTTGTGAATTAAGGCTATATCGAGGCAATACGCACAGTATGCACAGATGCCATTTAGAAACTGACCAGTTGCAGTCCTAAAACATCAATGGGAAGATTCAAACAAATAATACTAAATGAATTTATTGATATCATTACTTGTAAACGTTTAGCATACCATTGCAACAATTGAAAGTAAAGTCAATAAACATTTTCAAAAGCTTTTGAAGCAGCTGATTTATGGTTTAACTTACAACAATCTGAGGGTAAAAGGATCACCACAGCCTTTTGTATAGGGTCTTTTTGAAGTTCACAAATCCAGCTTTCTGTTAAGACCTATGATTTCTATGATAAACTCACCATACAATCTGGTTGAATGGTTAACCAAATTATTAGAACACATTTGTAGAAAACTGCCTGCAAATAGTTTAAAAGGCGCTTTTCAGTTTTTAAAAATAGTATCAATTGGATATACCAGGTAAATTCATGGTATCTTTTGATATATATTTTCATTATTTACGAGTACAGCATTAGACGAAACAATTAATATGGTTTACGAACAATCTGAATTACTTCCTTTGCCTGAGAATGAGTTGGCAAAATTATAACTACTTCATTTCCAATTCAACAACCAAACATACCGACAAACCGATAGAGTGGTCATGGGGGTCGATCACCACTAGGGTCTATCTAGGTCTATATCTTCATGGCTAACCTAGAACAAACGAAAATAAAACACAAAATCCGGAACACAACACACTATTCTACGTTTATTATCTGTGGTGATAGGGACCACGCTTTTCAGTTAAGTAGTCACTTCAGTAACTCTCATGCCAACATAACGTTTACAATGATATATGTAAGAGATAACCAATCCAATTTTTTATATCATAGTGTAAGGCGGGAAAATGATGGGGGTCTTGAGAAAAGTATGTGTAGGAAAGAAACGTGAACAGAACAATATTTGAACTGAAACAGATTTTGTCCTATCAGCTAAAAAAGGTGTCTAGTCAAAACGCTTTTCAATAGAGGTAGGATGTTATGCTCAAAGGGCAAAATAAATGAGAAACTGGCTACTCTGGAAAACAATCTCATAAAAAAATGGATACTCGAGGGAAGAAAATATCCCAAGGATGGTGAATAACCAACTGTTGGAAAGAAACTTGTCTTCATCCGCCTTCCGCTCAAGGGAGATGATATTTCAGGAAGAGTCAAGGTGGCACTGAAAAAAGTTTCTCTGCTGATTAACTTGTTTCACTGTACAACACTAGGTGTTCATTATACCATTCAAAGATAGATCAACATCCTATCTATGGATTTACATGTACCGATTGTGCGAAGTACATAGAAAAGCATGTATTAGGTTTTCTGAACACATATGTAGGAACCTACGTCTGAAAGGGAGTAAAGTCTCTAGAATTGCGATTGCCAGACATTTTTTGAATGGTGGACATAAACCGAATGTGATGCATTCAAAATAATCAACAGATGAAAAATACCATTCTTACTGCATTTTGCAGAGGAAATTCCTATCAAACATTCACGACCTGACCTATGTATACAGAAGGAAAGTTTAATCAGCTTTCCCCTGTCATGATGATTAGATATTTGTCTAATATAACCTTTGTTAATTCTAATCAGTTTTTCCAACCCTCTCTCCAACCTTTTATTGTTCTTCCTCCTTAGTTATGTTTGTTTATTTTATCATTTTGGACAATTACTCAACCTCTTATCGATTTCATTACCTTTACATAACTTGTGCATTATTACTTCCCAATATTCAAATACACATCAATCTTGATCATGTTTATTCATACACCTTTTATTTTGCATAAAAATACCAACTACTTACGAGTAGCGTAATTCTAAATGAACCATGCACCGGGTTTAGTTGTATACAACGGTTGAAGTCATTACTGTCTTTCTTGGTAGCTGTGTTCACTTTTTCCAACAATATATGATTAAAATGTCAGTAAGTACATGATACTTATTTTTTATTGTTAACAACAATAGCAGTAGTATATAATGAATCTCAAGAAGAAAAAAATGTCAACACAAAAATATGATAATGATAAGGCAAGAAAAACTGGATGATGCAAGTAGGAAAGAAATAGAAACAAACAAACAATTAATGAATGATATCCATAGAAACTGGTAACCTGTTGTTTTCTGGCAAAAAAACAGTGACAATGGTAATGAAAAGACTTGAAATACACACACACGCACACAAGAGAGGGCAACGACATAGACTCTTAGACGGACACACATACACGATATGAGTTGACAGAAAAACATGGCGCACATTTTAAAAAAAGGCAATAATGAGAATTCTTATGTTTTGGTCAGATTTATCATTCACTGACTTGAAAAGATATAAACAATAATGACAAGAAATAGACACACACACATAAAGGAGTAAAATTGACATTTTTTTTTGATGGGGACCAGTACATGTCATTATCTAAAATAAAATGAATATACATAGAAATCTTGTACACAGTTGAGTCGAATTGGAAGAAAGAACACTGCAGATTATTACATATAAATATATAGATATCAAAGTTTTATAATGTAGTAGTAGTAATAACATCTGATACCGGTGTGTATAGTCAGTCAGTCAGCTACAATGTAAAACCGATGTGTATAGAGCAGCCTGGTAAAAGTATCCCCCTTATATAATAAACACTATTGATAAATGAGGGAGTATATTTCACATTTGCACATCATTGAAAGCATAAGTCCATATATATAAATATATAGAATCAATTAAACTATTCTTGTTTTAAAATACAAATAAAATATACAAATGATCATCATTATTGTTGTATATACGATGTATACATAGAAGCATCTAATAATTAGAAATGTCTATCTTTATTTGAATTCATCTAACCAACAAATTAAAACAAGACAAATGATAATAGAATAAAGTAAAGTTTCTATAGAACAAATGGACTGATCTTTTATGATTTATAATCAATATTCAATAAAATCTATGGAAACAAAACAAAGTAAACCGGTCTTTTTTTTTCTCGGGTTAGTATCCATATTCGATGATTAGGTGGTACACATTGAATAATTAAAAAAACAAAACAAACACGATATAACCTATACACATGTTTGTTCAAAACTGTTACCACAAAGCGGGAATAAAAGTTTTTTTTTTTAAAAAAAAAATGTAACCAATGAGCTTGTTAGTTCACGTACACACACACACACACGCGCGCGCACTTATGATAGACAGGTAAAGTAATGAAAAGATTATTTTTTTTCTTTTGAAAAAATGAAAATAGGCGCTTATTTTAATATCCGTTTTTAAAAAAAAGAAAAAAAAATATATATAAGGAATATTAGTTGTTTTTCTCAACTAAAACAAAAGAATGATATTTAAAATAGATTACAAATAGATTCATGTTCTGTTGATTAGAAAAAGTACAACCCCACCCCCCTATGTAGAAGACAATGATATCTCATTAACAAGAAAACATGATCAAAAAAGGATGAGTTTATAGTCGACCAAGAGTTTGATAGTAACCAATGCTGGATGATACAGAACATGGATCTATTTCTTATATTAAATGTGAAGATTATGAATGTTGCCATTAACCATTTGCGTTGATTGAACAAATAAAAGTATCCAGAACAGATAAGTATGGAAGAAATATAAGAAGAAAATAACCTCCACTTGTTTATATTACAACTTGTCCAATCTAGGCATACAAAGAAAAGAATAACGGAATAATTGGTCAGATACATAGCAAACAAAACTGTATAAAGAGAATAGGTACCGGAAAAATGATCAGTATGTGTAGTGTACAGAAAGCCACGATCGAGTATCCATCTCTGTCAATCTAATATTTTAACAAAAAAAAAGAATATGAAACAATAGGGGGGGGACGGAAATCATTAGAAAACGACAAAAACAAAGGGCGAACAATAGAAACAAATCTTTCACAGAATACGAATATAATTCAAATAGGTTATAGTCGTTTGATTAAAATAGAAAAAGGAAAAACAAAAGGATTCTGATAGTAATATTCCTCTCAAAATTTATCACAATTATATCACACTGAAATATGTTTCCTTATTTATTTTTCTTTTACTACTGATATTTGAATGAGTAGTATAAATAAAAGTGATTAAATATATTGACGACGTGAGTGATTGTTGGTATTTTTATCACTATGAGTTTTCATATGAGCATTACGTGATTTGATTTTATAGAAAGATTTATTGCATATATGACATGTATAAATTGAATGTTTTGTATCACTCAACGATACAGAAGAAGTAAATGTTGATGATATTGTAGGAGTGGATGTGGTAGTGGTGATGACGGTAGATAAGCAACTCGTAGAGACAACAACGACAGAATTAGTTGATGTTTGTATTGATGATAATGATGATGATAAAGACGAGTGAAATGAAGACGAATGCGAAGAGATTGCAGCAGTAGATGTTGCAGCAATTACAACAGTAGTCGTAGTAGTAGTAGTAGTATACTTCGGTAATGATCCACTTGATGTAGTCTAATAAATGGGGAAAGACTGTTCAAATTAAGTAAATATTAGAAAAAATAAGTTTCATGAATGAGAAAACAATGAGCTAAATATTATTATTATAATTATGAACTGATTTTATTTTCATAAAGCAATTTAACCAGTTAAGAACTGATTGCTTGTTATATATACTCCAATCGTTGATTCATCTTGATATTCCCTAGTAGCAGACATACTTACGTTCAAGTATAAAATACTGTCGCGTAATTAACCAAATGGAAATGTGATACAATCGACCGATACTCTTTGATGGTGATTACTGAATTTCTAAAAACTTTCTCTGGGTTGGACGGTTTGATTGTAAAGATAACACCATTGTGGAACACTCCACAGAGAAAATGACACCTTCAGTCTGAGTTGCAAACATCTTTTAACAAAGAGTAATTGACAACTCATAAGATTTTTATGTGGTACTTAACGCTTACTAATTCAAGTCTTCCATGATCCGTATGATATTTCAGCAAACTTATCAAAATCTGAATATGTAGAGTAGTGTTGAGTTATATCTTATATTTATAAGATATGTTAATTAATGTAGAGTGTAGATATTCAACTTCTACTCGAAGTTTATGCTGATGATGTCGTTCAGAAGGACGACGAAAGCTCCACGACCAAACAATCTAGCTTAGAGTACAAAACTCCATCAAAACCAAAAATAACCATATGAGCTACATAGATAAAACGAAATGACTAAATTATTTGTTATTCATATAATCAGTCGAAATATATGTCAGTGTCAGATCTCTACCCCCCCTGCCGAAAAAACTTAAGAGATAGATAGTGAAGATAATCGGATAAAGCAATAATGGATAAGTGACATTACTTATTCCTGTTCTGAGAACTATAGTATAAAGTATAGCGAAATGTTTTCAATTTGGCATGTTCTAATAATATTAAAAAAAATAATTGGAATCTTTTAAAAGGTTCGTTAAATTTTAACATTCCACAGGTTGTTATTGACGTAAGATGGTGGTTGGAGGTGGTCAACAGGAAACCCTGGACCCGGGTTTCGTGCTACTTGGCACTCGTCAGCAAGGTGTACCTGTAATCCTGAGGGAACTGATGCTCCCTGGCGGAGCCGATCCCGCGTCACTCAGCTTCACAGTCAGAGACGTTACCACTGAGCTATTCGGGCCGCGACCAACCTCTTGTAGGACTGAGATGTAATCCTGTTGACCACCTCCAACCACCATCTTACCTCAATATACATAGTGCAAGCAGTGTCGAGCCACCTAGACTGGTGGTCACATTGCAACTCGATCGATAGCATTCGATCAGCACTAAGAAGGACCTGACAGGCATGAGATTGATCACCACCCAGTGATCAATCAATTGTGACAGGTTGTTATTATCAAATTGTTTTCAACTGACTATTTGTAGAACCTGGTTGGATCTATCTGTACATTTGACCATTAAAATTTAGCTCGAAAATCCAAGGAGTTCATTTATACATTATAGTCTTACTGTAAAAGTTTCGTTCTTCACTCCTTTTCAGATGAGAAAAAGTGAAGATAGAGATTTATATAAAGAAATAATATTATTTGTTGAAGATATTAGGGTAGAAAGATAACTTTATTCATCGTGGCTTTTAATAATACTTCAGGGTTGAACATTGACATGATAAAAAAAAACACTAACTATATGGTATAATTCAAAGTTGAAATCATGAGATCATGATTCAATTGAAGCTAGACCACCATCGAAAACCTGGAAGCACTGGACGGCCGTTTCGTCCTATTATGGGACTACTCAGCAGTGCGCATCCACGAACCCGCTCTCGCGAGCGAGATTCGAACCCAGGACCTACCAGTTACGAGCCAGAGCCCTTAACCGGGTTCGTGGATGCGCACTGCTGAGGAGTCCCATAATAGGACGAAACGGCCGTCCAGTGCTTCCAGGTTTTCGATGGTGGTCTAGCTTCAATTGACTCATGATTTCAACTTTGAAATATACTGAAATCTCCACAAATCCCCTTCTGATTATATGGTATAACACAATTAAAATGAATTTATCAGAAATAATTCCGTTAAAAAAAAGTTGAAACGGACTAACTCATGAACTCAAAGTAGCTACGTTAATGTCGCTACAAGTATAAAAACCTCAGTTTTAATCACCGAAGTGGGGTGGCCATAAAAATTAATTATTTGAAAGGAATATATACAATAATAATTAACCATTCATTGAGACAAAATTTCACAAGCCCTCATAACACTATGCTCATAATCTCCACCAACTATTTTAAGTAAAGATGAATAGAAGCTATCGGTGGAATCCAGGACGTGTGTTTCGTTCCATTGAGAACTGTTCGGCTGGATGTACTCGCATTCCAGAGTGGGATGCAGATAAATCCAGCTGATGAGTCTCAAATGCTTGTAAATGAAGGCAATATTGAGTCAATACGCACAGTATGAACGTATGTCAATAAGAGACTGAGTAATTGTAGTCCTAAACATAAATGGGAAGATTCAAATTAACAATATCAATTGAATTTAGGCAGTGATCATATTTCATATTCGTGTCATACTCTGAATAAAATTTGTGTAATGCTTTCTGATATACAGTACATCTTGTAATTTCTTATTCATTTAACTGAAGGGTTCATTACTTCCTCTCTAATAGCACGGTTATCTAACTATTTAACTTGTATTATTTTAACTACTTAATCGCTATTCAGTAGTATTTTAAAACACCAGTTCAATTAGTAGATTAGAAAAACATGTAAGAACAATATTGTTTTCAATAAGATCTTCATCAGGCTTTAGTCTAATATACAGTAATATTTATAGGAAGAATATTTTATCGATCATGGAAGCTTGTCAGTCATTTATTATGAATACAGTGGTCTTGAGTGCTGTTAGAGGTATGAAAGTAGTTATTACTTCCCGGTTGCGCATACCGTGGAACGGTTCTTCTAGAGGTACCTGAAAAGGAAATTGGGTTAGAAGTGGTCTTAATGACCTGAGAGCGTGACCGCAGTGCTCAAGGGACAACTGCTTGAGGTCGGTCACACACGACCTTTCTGTGGGTAGTTTTTGTGTTAGCTCCGTACTTGTCAGGACCTTACCGCCGGAGACGGATATCCGTGGGATAAGGAGAGGTGTGCATTTTTACGGTTGACCTTTTCTAACCCCACCCCTCCTTGTGGGAAAGCAGCATCGCTGTTATGCTGATTGTATGAAGGAAACATCTTACTGCTGTCATACCTCTGTACAGTCAACAGTACGACTTCGCCTTCGGATCTTGGGTTTGCTGATTTTAGTCTTACCGCTCTTCAACCGACCTGCCTGGCATGGTAGGACCTTGAGGAACGATTGTTCCAGCCAGTATAGCTCGATTGCTTCATCACGATAAGCAAACCCGACCACCACGTCAAGGTAGCAACAACGGTCGGGTGAGTTGACAATAATAATGAAATAGATAACACAAGTAAATATAATAAGTAACAAATTAATGATGAAATGACAGGTGAACTATGAATGTTAAAGCTAAATAATAAAAGGCTTAAATCAATGTTTCACCATCGGAAGTAGGTCAAACTATGAAAAATGTAGACATCGAAATAAACAGCATTAACTATAGTTAAAATTGCGTAATAAGATAATTAGGTAGTGAATATAATATACAAAAGAGGGCGAGAAAAACAAGAAAGAAAGATATGGTCAATAATAATAACAAAGAAAGAATCAATAATGATGATTAGCCAAGTTGTTTATTAAGGTTTATATGGTCAAGCAATAGAAAGGGTGTTATATAAATTTCATCTGATGAATACATAAATTAGGGTCACAGGTTCGAACCACTGTCTGTATACGTAAGAGATGGGATTGAACTCTTACGCGAAACGACGAATAAATACAACAGATCACTCGAAATGATATGATTACATGATCTGTATGGTTAGATAGACCTAAGTATTGTTTTTCTCAAACTCTTCGACAAACAGAGAGATATTCACACATTCTTTGGTTAATTTGCTTCGTTGTAAACTCAATATACAACTATCTCTACAGGGGCATCCGAATTTATAGATACACACTGAAGTGGCAAATGCAAGTAAATTAGATTTCACCTTTTAATATTCTTAACTCCAATAGTTCACCTGTCATATCATCATCAATTTATATTCAGTTATGTAATATATTTCATTATGATCGTCAACTCACAAACTTCCTTGGTTGGCATATTACAGTAAAGCCTGGTTAAAGTCTCATTGAAATCATCAGACTGCATCAGGAGTCCGGGCCTAACTTATAATTCTAAAGGCAAAAGGAAAAGAGGCAAACCAAAGAAATCAATGCGCCGAGAATTGGACCCAGGCATCAAAGAAATGAATAGTACTTGGATATAACTGGAAAGGAGAGCCCAGAACAGAGTCCGTTATCTAATTCTGTTCTGTGGCCTATGATCCGCTAGGGGTAACAGGTGTACGTAAAGTAATTAAGTAATATGTATTGTTCAAAGTTAAAATATAGGAATTTTAAATTACCATATATATATATAGCAGCAGATTTCAAGCAATCCCAGCATGTAGATAAATAACGCCATGCTAGTGAGTGTGAAACAGCAAAATTCTAGGTCCAAGGTTTCCTGCCAATAACTTATCAGACCTATAATGTTCTTTTATCAAAGGTAAGCGTCCAACCGCCAAACGTTATCAGTCAGAGGATCTCTGACATAATTCATATTCAGTAGTAGTAATTATAACCATAATAATAATAATAATAATAGAAATCTAATTCTACTTACTTCATTGAAAACAATATCCATAAAATCATCATAGGAATTTTCCAAGGAATTACTATTATCATTATTCACAACAATATCATTGGTAGTCATCTTAGTAGTCAATTGATGATCTGATTTCATGTTTGTCGATAATGATAATGGTGGTTGAACTGATATCGTTGTTTGTTGTTGTTGTTGTTGTTGTTTATGACGTAAATTATAAGGTACATTAAATGAATTATGATTATTATTACTGTCTAATGTTTGTGTTGAATTCATATCTGTTGTATATGCATTACATTGTTCAAAAGCTTCAAATTGTTCTGATAATGACTCTTCTGTGATTATTGGCTCCATACGAGGAAGTGAACGTTGACGTCGTGCCCTTTCACGATACCTTGAAGTAAAGAAGAAAGGAAAACACAATTAAATAATTATGATCGGAGAGGTTTTTTTTTGGATATTATAGTAACTTGATAGTTGAATTCATGAATCCATTGAAGCTAGACCACCATGGAAAACCTGGAAGCACTGGAAAGCCGTTTCGTCCTATTGTGGGACTAATCAGAAGTGCGCATCAACGATCCCACCTCGTTAGATTCAAACCCAGGACCTATCGGTCTCGCGTGCGAAAGCTCAACCTCTAGAACATTGCTTTTAAATAACTGAGATTTATGCATTTACTCATAAGTAATTAGTTGCTCTTACAGCAGAATTAAGTAAAATAAATCTGAATAAGAATTCCCTTGATCAGGTAAATTAGACACGAGAAGTGTAAACAGGTGTTATACATTTGGAAGAGATTAATCATAGTTTAAGGTTCAGAATTAGGGATCCATTCTAGATACTCATATAGATGGTATACCTCCACTATAAAAATAACTAACATTCCCTGTAGAGCAATGGTTTAATGATTGAAGCGTTCGGTATTTAGCTAGTAAGTCGCAGGTTTGAACTCCGCTTCATCTGCTTCAGTTTGAGGAGGCGGGTAGTATTACTAGCCTACGAGGTCAATTATACGTATTTATACCCGGTAATGAGTTATTATCAATAACAGTAGTAATAGTGAAACTTTCGGTAGAAATTGAACTGGGTTTGTCCAGTACTACGGTAGAAGACTTTACTAATGAGCATATTCAAACGTACAGTTAAACTGAGTTTTATGAACATTTTGGCGAACATCTTGTTACCTATTCCTTAGTATAGATTATGAATAGTCTTTGCTGACAAATACTGGCTAGTATGAATCCTAGGCAAATGCATGAGGGAGATTTCAGTCAATTGTCTCTAACACACTCTGTGATCAAACAAAGAGGATCACGTTGTTGGGTCATATAGACGACAAAGTCAAATTGTAACCTTGATCAATTAAGTCCCACCAGTAGTCAGGATATAACATTAGTTGCTATCACAATTACCGATATGTTGGTTAGTAATTATAAACATATCATGTGTCCTTGTACTCACATAGAATTTCAGAGTTAAACAGTACGTGAGGAATTATGAATATAATACTCTATTAGAACAAATCGATTATAAATCACATAATGAAGGCATCAGCCCTCATATCTTTCTCTGGGTCATACATATACCCATCGTTTATGTACATTATAATACGGTTTTACCAATTAAAACTTCCAAATCATTTTCTGAGTTTTCTCATTCACATAGCTGGTTCTATAAGCGAATAGGAAGGGTGTATATCTGAAGCGAACAACATGGAGATCGCGGCAAACAACTAGTTGAGCAATACAACATTTATTTTTGTGATAACTCAATCCTTTCAAACTTGACTGTTCCTTTTGCAAATATCAGTCAATCGTCTCATACTTCATTCTTCCTGCATTTTCATACCAATTGATTTCCAGTCTCGTTCTTTCCTCCTAGATCTTCACAACCTTTTGCTGCTAGACATTCTATTCATTGACTGGCATTATATACAACTTATGTCAGCACAAGTAGTACACACCACATTAGTGCAGTCAAAATCATAATATCATATTACAAATGCGTACATTTTTCATACAAATTCATTGTTTCCTTTGTGTTAATTTAGTGTCGGTTATTTATTTACTTTGAAGAAGTGGCTTACATTAAGTGACGAAACGTCATCAGAGAAATACATCAGTTTTTCTACTTATTAGGTTATAACAGAAATATGTTTATTATTATTAACTCTTTACCCAATGCATAATTTATTTGAAACTATCAAGTTCAACCTTGGTATGAATACCTAATTAACTATCTGTTAATTCATTTAGTATTGTTTGTTTGAATCTTCCCATCGATGTGTTTAGGACTGCAACTGGTCAGTCTCTAATTAGCATATGTGCATACTGTGCGTATTGGCTCGATATAGCCTTAATTCACAAGCATAGTAAGCAAATATGGATAGTGGCTAACACATTGATGGGAAGATTCAAACAAACAATACTACGTTGAATTTAAACTTTACCACATCGCACAAGCAAGTGGCTATCAGGACACAGTGACCGAGTGGATAACGTGATGGCGTTTGAAGCGAAAGATACTGGGTTCGAGTCCCAGAGTGAACATCAACTCTGAGATGCAGGTACATCCAGCTGACGAGTACCAAATAGGACGAAACCCGCGTCCAACTGGATTCCACTGCTAGCCACTATCCATCTTTGCTTACCATATATCTGTTAATTGACTGATCAGTGTGTATGAGAAAAAGAATGTATTGAAATCAACTACTCTGTATATATATACAAAGCTATTTACCACACTAGAAAAACAAAAACCGTAAAATAAACATGTTTATACCAAATAAACACACACACACATACCATGTACCTAAGTAGATAAGTAAAAGATGTATTCATACGAAAATAGAAACAAATCAAATCTACTTTTGACCCATATCTAAATTTAAGTAGATGATCAAGGATATACAACTATTTGTAACCAGTTCGAACATGTTAAATGGAGAGTAGAAAAAAAAATGAGAAAAATTTTTCTCGTCTCTTTGATTTTCAATATCATAACTAGTTTACCTTTTCATACCGTCTTTCTCTCTCTCTATATATATATATATATATATACATATAATGATAAGGAAAGAGAGAGAAAACTAGCTACATTTTTCTGTTGCGTTGACAGAAAACAATGTCCGACAGTTTAATCTATTGATATTACGGTTACTTATGTGAGAAAAATTATCTAATGAACTAATTACACTGGATATTAGGGAATGATGGTAAATCAGTTGATGAGTTTGTAAATCTTAATCGACTGAAATGATTGAGCCACGTGTTACGTATGCTTAAACACCAATTACCACGACGTGCAATGCTAACTAGTGTTGGAGATGATTGAAAGAGAGTTAGGGGCGGCTAAAACAAAACGTGGCATCAGTTCATAAAGTCACTAACTTCTAATCTGAGCCATGTTGGTAGATGCAGACTACTTGGTTGGGTTTCGCGTGACTATCGCAACCAGTGGTTGGAGACTCTGGTTAGCATGACTCAGAATCGATAATGTCAGTCAGCATTGGGCATCGATGGATGAGTGGTTGAACGTATGTAACAAAAGTCCTAACAATTTCATTTGATACAGTATCACAAACAAATTAAATGTGTAAAAGGAGACATCAGTCACAATTGATTGATCACTGGGTGGTGATCAATGTCATGTGTGTCAAGTCCTTTTTAGTGTTGATCGAATGCTATCGATCAAGTTTCAATGTGGCCACTAGTCTAGGTGGCTCGACACTGCGTGCACTATGTTGAGATAAGATGGTGGTTGGAAGTGGTCAACATGAAACCCTGGACCCGGGTTTTGTGCTACTTGGCACTCGTCAGCAAGGTGTATCCGTAATCTTGAGGGAACTGGTGCTCCTTGACGGATTCGATCCCGTGTCACTCAGCTTCACAGTATGAGACCTTTGGAAATTCTCAGCTTTCCAGGAATTTTCTTAAACGACTTAATTTTGAGTAGTTTCGTAAACTAAGGAGGATAGGACAGATGTTGCATAGTAGTGAAGACATCTCATCAATAGTCCGAACTTCAAGAATCTCATATTACGATTAAACAGGCGTCTGATGGCTTCCTGGTTTTCCAGATGACGGACACAATGAAGTTAATCCATAATCAATAGTTTTTATAAATGAAATGAAACCGTGTAGAACCCCTTCAAATCAATCATAGATTTCTCCTAACAGTAACGATTTTCCTGATTATTGATTAATTTACATTTTACATCACACACACACACATAAACATGTCAGTTTGTTAGAACAACAAGCGCAGTTGATGACTTAGAGGGGATTTTTATCTGGGTATATATGTATATATATACCGGCTTTTCCATTCAAATAGCAACCGAATAAAACTGTTATCCTACTACTAAAACTACAAAAATATTCTGTTTAATTAATGCAAATTTGTTTTGTAGAAAAAAAACATAATTAATCTTCCAACCAGTTGGTCACTAGTAGTAGTAGTAGTCGTAGTCGTAAATGAGATTAAGACCAGAGGGGGCAACAGTAATACAAATCATTATAATTTAGAACTTATATCATGATTAGTACAATAAGAGAGAAGGGGGGAGAGTGGAAATAGAACAGACGAAATAGAAATGAAGTTGAAATAATTACTATCAATGGTATCGGAAAACTAAGTATATAGAGTCAATCATAAGCAAAGTAGAACCTAGAAAATGTGTCCACAGCCTTAAGTTGCCATATTATCTTAACACAATCAGATGTAATTAACAAGATAGACACCAGAATAGGAAAAGTAATAAAGTATTCATATCCATAGTGGTCGTTGTCATTGTAGTTGTAGTAAAAAAATATTTAAGGATAAGGGATAAGCTCAACTGTGCTATTGTGATTATCGTTCGATTAAATTCACTAACCTCTTCAACCGTTAGTTACCATAATAGCTAGTACTTTAATCAGGAAGTCTGAACCAAACTAATGGGACTGAGAACAACAGTCAATGAATTCGTGGAGATTAAAAGAATAGAATGTCATTATAAAACGAAGAAAGTAAGCAGTCATATTTGAATTTAAGATTTAAAGAATGATAAATAATAAATGAACCACTGATATTGCGATTGGTTAAAATCTTCTTATCTAGGATCTTCAGTCCTATACTGTGATGGATGCTACTTATGTCTGTCGACATAAGTAGTAAGTAACACCAATCAGTAGTAGAATACCTAACAGCAGAAGGTTGAAAAGATCGAATTGAATAGAAAAAAACGTAAACAGAGAGTAAGTGTAATGAAAACAGAAATAAAGGAACAATAAAGTTTGTAAGAGACAATCGATGGATGATGTGCAAATGAAGTATTCAAAGTATAGTTTCCATATTTTACGAAGAGACTCTGTAATTTTGTATGAGAAAGAAATTGATTATTCCCACCAGAGTGTTCATTTACTACACCAAGCACATCTTAAAAATAAATAAGTTTGATAACAAAATAGCTACATGGACAGACACACTGTTGTTCAGGTTTAGATAACCGATTTTCTACATAGTTTTGAGCTAGCTAATATAGTACTATGGAGTAAGAGATGGTTCGGAATGTTTGAGTTATCTTTCAACCAATGAGTATTGTTTTACAGGTGATATATAGCTTCACAAGAATACCGGATAAAATTTAATGACACAGTCGTGATAGTCTTTGTTTAAATAATTACTTATTTGTGGATATTTTTAATTTTTTCATAGATGGTTGAAATCATGAGTCGATTGAAGCTAAACCAACATCAAAAACTTGGAAGCACTGGACGGCCGTTTTGTCCTGTTGTGGGACTCCTCAGCAATGCGAATCTACGATCCCGCCTCACGAGATTTCCTGGAGTTCTAATGAGAAGCAGCAACCAGCGGAGTTCAACCAGGTCTTTTGGGAGATATCAACTCATTGAAGACAATGGTGAAATGGTTGCTCAAATTCGTGGATAGGTTGAAGTTAGACATTAACACCGTTAGATGCTTGCTCAGTGATCTATCGGTTAAGTGCTCGCGCGAGAGACTGGTAGGTCCTGGCTTCGAATCTCGTGAGTGCGGGATCGTGGATGCACACTACTGAGGAGTCCCATAATAGGACGAAACGGCCGTCTAGTGCTCCCAGGTTTTCCATGGTGGTCTAGCTTCAATTGAATCATGATCTTAACTATATAAAAAATTACTTATTTGATCAGTCTATTCTTATTACATCTTATCTATAAAAAAATTGAAGTTGTGTTCCATTCAGCGGAATGATTTCGTTATTCAACTAAGTATTGTATGATAACAAACAATGCTAAATTAATTTACATACATTAAAATTTTCCATTTTGTTTTCCAGTTTAAGAAAAATAACCAACAATCCTAGTGGAAGTGTTTGTTCATAACATTTTAGATTTATGTTCCATGACAATAGACTCATGAAAGAAGTAGATTGATGTCAGTAAGTTTAATTCTATATTAACTAATGATTGGAGTACGTTCGTATGACGTTCATCCTATAAACGTTTTCCAACTGCCCTAGGTTGATTCTATTAGTTTATTAATCAGGTGTTCCGTTTTGACCCTCTCATATATTTGAGGAAGTGATAAACCACTTGAAGGCGGTGGTGAGTAGGATCTCTCCGAAAGAAACTTTAAAGGTGCAATCGTATATGAGATGAACGAGGAAAAAATTGAACAGGAATAGACAAACAAACAAATAACCGTAATTACACTACTACTAATGATGATGAAGTTTATTATCAGTATGATTATAAATATTATCATCTTGAAAAATAAGTAAGTGTATTTGCGATTGTAAAGCTTTGAAAATGAATTCGCCGAAAAGAGAACTCTCCGTTCAACACTATTTCTTCTTCTTTCTTCTTACGCTTGTTACTCCCAATGGAGCATTGTTAACAATCATAAAAATATGAATTATAATCGTAATAGTTATGATAATAACGATCTACATAGCATACCATTTAACATCAGATGGTGTATTCATTCGTTTCCATACATAATAGAATTCTACACAAGCTTTAACTGTTTTATTCATTCCAGCTGCTTGTAAATCTTTTGAAACTTGATGAAAATCTCTTCCATGCATAGCCAAACCTTGTTGAAAGCGTACAATCTCTTCAGTTGTCCAAGCTGTAGTTTCTATAAAATCAAGAAGGGTATATTACATCGTTTGTTTAAAAAACAGACATATTATCATAGTTGAAATCATGAGTCAATTGAAGCTAGACCACCATGGAAAACCTGGAAGCATTGGACGGCCGTTTCGTCCTAATATGGGGCTCTTCAACAGTGCGCACCCACGATCCCGTACCCGCGAGATTCGAAGCCAGGAACTAACAGTCTCACGCCGGAGCACTCAACCGATAGACCACCGAGCCGTCTAACTTCAACTAATCATTATCACATTTAAAATATTTTGTATAATTTAAAAATGAAACAGTATACCATGAAACAATGAAACCACTGAACATTAAAAACGATTGAACATATGCTTCGTTCTAGAATATTTAGAATGTTCATCAGTAGTTTGTATTCACGAGTATAATACACAGTCGTTGTTAATAAACAATGATCCAAAAAAGAGTTCACAATTGAAATCAAGTCATAAATTACAGTTATAAGATCGAAGCGAATAACTGGTAAAGATGAAACTTGAAGTGAACAAGGAAACAAGAATCCTTGACAAACTACGGATGCTATTGTTGGGGACGTTATTTCATTTCATTCAAACCTTGTATAATAGTAACATTTACTTTTGTCCCTAGTCTATTCTATAGATCATAAGCTTTCGTTTGATGTATGAATCACTGACATAGCCTTTTCTGTTCGTTTCAAAACTATTGTAATTTAGACGTAATCTTTTGTACTCTATTGTCTACTCTAATCCACCAGTTTTGGACATAATTGTGTTTTCCTAATTATTGTACGTTGTGTTTGGGTTAGTCATCTATTTATTCATGTATCTGAAAATCGGTTACCACATCGGAATTTGGAATAAAGCGATTAGTGTTCCAGTTGTCTTGTCTTCTCTCTCGCGTGTGCCTGTCAGGCAATCAGGTGATAAAATAGTTTTCTCCTCTCTATCCTACTTCGAACTCCATGGTTTACGCAGTTAGCCTATCGTGTCAAGGTCTTAATCTACATTAGACAAGTTATACTCGGCACGAAAGTGGGTAGACAGATCAAGGACGTAACAGAACTTCTAGGACTATTCTACGAAGAATTATTATTTTAATTTTTATTATCTAACTCATAAGTATTTAGTTTATGGTGCTTTTATATTCCACCTCTTTCCCCCCCATTTATATTATTAACTGTTGTTGTCATATCATTCATAGACTGTTGTCAATTAATTATACACCTATTGTTCGGTTTTGTACGGTATACGATCGACTTGTATACAAATTGAGATTTCCTGTTTGAGGTGGTTTATGGTCGTCTAATTATTACAATATCATCATGTAATTTTTTAAGTTACAATGATAATAATAGACAAACCGGTTAACAGTTCTTATGGTCTAATTAGGTATTGAGGAATAGAAAAATTGACGTGAACCAATACACATTAGGATATTTAGTCGTTATTTATCAGTCATTCATATGGATAATGTGGCGGTATTTGAAGTGAACGGTACTGGTTTCAAGTCCCACAGTTGATGCTCACTCTGGGACACAGTAACATCCAGATGAACAGTTCTAAATAGGACGAAACATATGTCCTGGGTTCTGCAGTTAGCCACAATCTATCATTGTTTATAATCCTTGTGAATTAAAGCAATATCGATGCAATTCACACAAGATGCACATATACAAATAAGAAACTGATCAATTATAGTCTTAAATAACAATCAGAAGATTTAAACAACTAATACAAAATAAATCATTGCTATTATTAGTTAACAGGTCATTATGATTACTGATATGGAGCAAGTAAACTTATTATTAATGAACTTTTATAATCTATAAATTTTTTCTGGTTAGCATTTTTTTTAGCGAGTTTTAAAAAAAAATATTTATAGATTATAAAAGTTAATCAGCGTTTTTTAGCGAGCTGGTTTTCTACGGGATGGGGTCGCTAACCTCATGCCCAACCCTCCTACTTTACCCGGGCTTGGGACAGTCAGTAGCCCCCGTAGGAGCTACATTCGTCACAAGACAAGCATTCACATAAATCCTGAAGGCCAAAGGAAAAGAGAAAAACCAAAGAACATATTAATCGCAGAAATGGAAACAGATATGAGGAGAATGAACAAAAACTGGATAGAACTAGAAAAAAGAAGGCCCAAGACAGAGTGGGTTGGAGAATGCTGGTCGGTGATCTATGCTCCATCGGTAGTAACACGCGTAAGTAAGTAAGTATTATCTATAAAGTGGGAATATACAAATCAAATTCATAAAATAATTAATTTTAAAACTATACACAAATTTAATAGAAGTGTGCAGCCTATGCTCCTCAACGAGGAGTAACAGGCGTAAGTAAGTAATAATTACAACTTACCAGCATATACATAATCATAAACAACTAATGTATCACGTAATAAAGCGTGTAATGTCATTTCTACATCACCTTTATATTTACATAATAAATGAAATGTATACTCCATATTTAATCCACAATTACGTACAGCTGGTGAACAAGCAATTTTTGTCAGTAGATTTACTAATAAAACAAAAATTTTTTAAAAAAAAGGTGATATAATAAAGCCAAAAAAAGAACTGATGAAAATGTAAACACGAGAAAAAAACACAGTGACGATAACAACAAAAGAGGAAGAAGAACAAGTCAGTCAGTCAGCTACAACGTAGGACCAGACACATGCATTGGTCCAAGTTGCCATACCTCGTTAGCACAACAAGTTGAACACCAAATTCATAGAAGTAGTTCATTTAGTGATGGTAGTATGTAAAAGAAAGATTGTATACAAAGATATAGTACAGGAAGAAAGATATGAAGCAATTTTAATCTTACGGTTTAAGGTAAGATAAAGAGTGTATACAAGAACGCCATAGTGATCGGTCGATTCTGAGCCATTTTACTCAGAGACTCCAACCATTGGTTACGATAGTTACGCGGACCCCAATCAAGTAGTCTGCACCTACCAACATGGCTCAGATTAGAAGTTAGTGACTTCAAGCACTGATGCCATGTTTTGGTTTGCCCACCCCTAACTCTCTTCCAACTATCCCCGATACTAATCAGCATTGCGCGTCATGGTAATCGGTGTTCAGGCATACATAACACGTGTCCCAACCATCTCAGTCGATGAAGATTCATGACCTCATCAACTGATTTACCATCATTTCCTAATACCCTGCATCGAACCTCACTATTACTTACCAGGTGATCCAAGCAGATGCGAGCAATATTTCTAAGGCGTCTGTGGTCAAATACTAGTAACTTACGAGTATCTTCTACTCTTAATGGCCACGTTTCACAGCCGTAAAGTAGAACAGAACGAACTGCTGCGCAGTATACTCGTCGGAAGAAGAATAATGGTCAAGGGGTATACATGTTGTTTAAACTAATTGACTAAATAAATGATACACTACAGGGTTGTCATGCAGATACAACGATGGTACAAAAGTGATTTACAAACAAACATGATATTGGCTTCTACACACTGATGAATCAGTTATAAATATATTAGATCCTACAAAATGTCAATCAAAAACCAAATAACTCAACAGTAACGTATTAGACTGTGAAACTAGATATTGTGAGTTTGAACCCCGTTAGGAAGTATTAATTCTATAAAGATTATAGATACAACTAGCTAATGATCGTCGACTAGAATTAAACTCAGATCTAGGTTTTCCTGATGACTACCTTTAAGCACCTATGATCTATATGTTAATTTCTTTGGGGATAATGAATGACCCATGATAAGACTGAAATCTACCAATTGTCTGTGCTATGAATAACATCCTAATCAATCATTTGTAATAGTTCGTTTCGTATTCTGTATATGAGAATGTTCCTTTTGATAAAAGACAAACGTATTCTATTGACTACTTTTTGATTCCTTTTAATAATGGTAAATAATTCAGTTTTTTGAGCAGTAATTGTAGAGTCAACTTATATCGTACAATCATATAATATCAATGCCTACGAATGCCCTGGTACGGTCGAGAGTGGGGAGAGTCCGCTCTACCTCGAAAAATTCTCTCACATGGCCACGTGTATATAGCCTCTGCTACACAAGTCCTACTCACTTCCCTCTCGTGATGGGGATGTTGTTTACGAAATTGAGAGGACGATAAGCAAATTTCAGGCGCTCTAACCGGGTTGGTAGATATGGAAGATCCACCTAAGGGAGTTGGAAAACCTTGATTCCAAACCAATGGTGCACATGAACTCCAGTATCCTGAGGGAACAAATGGTGTATGAACCTATTGGTGGTCACGGGCTACCATGTGACTGTATCTCCTAACGTTGCTCCACTGCCTTGTAGATTAGACATTTAGGTCGAAGGCTCTGGGTGTGACCCCTCAAGAAAACCACCTACTTCAGTTCGGGCACCTGGGCAGTATCACAGCCCTCACACAAATCAGATGAGATTTGTGCGGCGTATATGTATCTGGTGCTTCCTTGTACCAATATTTATGTATTTTAATAAATAAATAATAATATTAATGTCATTTGACATTCGAATCATTATTTTACCAACTGTAAGTGTCAATAATCATGGTCACAAATCGTTGACAAACTCTGTGTAGATCTTACATAGATGAAAAGATAATGAGATCATTGAAATCAATTGTTTATTGTACATAATTTTTAGTAGTAATACTTCAACATGAGTCTGTTCAAGTGATCTTGTACAGGTCACAAAATCAGACAAAAGATTTGCTTACTACGACCTTAAATAATCTAATAATAATACTGAATAAAGCAGAGAATCTATTTAAACTAGTTCATACATACATTAAATGTATTGATGAGGTGATGAATCTTCATCGACTGAGATGGTTGGGACACGTGTTATGTATGCCTGAACACCGATTGCCACGACGTGCTATGCTGACTAGTATTGGGGATAGTTGGAAGAGAGTTAGGGGTGGGCAAACCAAAACATGGCATCAGTGCTTGAAGTCACTAACTTCTAATCTGAGCCATGTTGGTAGGTGCAGACTACCTGGTTGGGTTCCGCGTGACTATCGTAACCAATGGTTGACATAGCTCAGAATCGATCACATTGGAGTCGGTGTATACACTCTTTATATTCCCTTAAACCTTGAGATTAAATTGTTTCATATCTGTCTCTCTTCCTATATATACTACTATACTATGTCCTTTTATACAATCGTTCTTTTATATACTACAACCACTAAATGAACTACTTTTATGAATCTGGTGTTCAACTTGTTGTGCTAACGAGGTATGGCAACTTGGACCGATGCATTTATGTGCCTTGTCCTACGCTGTAGCTGACTGACTGAGTCATGTTTATTATGTAGTGCCTAGTAATTAAATAATATTATGGATGGGTTTGTAATGGATTGTTTGTCTTTTCAAAGTTTACTATTTCTCCACTGCTTCTCCACTCATTATTATTAAATAACTTCGAAAGATGTATAGACTATAGGCTTTGATCACTGATGTCACCGAAGAGCTTCGTTAGGTACAATAAAATAATTGATTGAACAATAATGGGGGTAAAAGAGAAAAATGGCAAATTATACATAATTATCAATCGATAATATTAGTTGAATTCTGAAGAGAAAAAACAACACTATTCAACACACAACTAATTGTATGTTAATAATACCAGAAAACAAAAAAAAGAACTTACATGATTCTATATTCTTAGGATCATATTCATCAAGATAAGCTGGATACCACAGTAACATTTCCCGTTTGGATGGTGATTCTTTGTTAGTTTCAGCTGATGTAACTTCTAATATTATTGTTAATCATAAGAGCAAGGGATAAAACAAAATTTAACAATTTGATTCAATAATATGGGTTTTTTTTAATTAAAAAAGATATATTTTCAATATGAAAATGGCCCCCAAATGCCCTGGTACGGTCGAGAATGGGGAGAGTCCGCTCTACCTCGAAAAATGCTATAACATGGACACGCGTATATAGCCTCTGTTAGGAAAGTCCTACTCACTGCGTTCTCGTGGCGGGGGTGTTGTTTACGAAATTGAGAGGACGAAAAGCGAATGTGGTGGACACTGCGAGTCCACCTAGGGGAGTTGGAAAACCCTGATTCCAAACCGGTGGTGCACATGGGCTGGCTCCAGTATCCTGAGGTAACAAATGGTATATGGATTAATCGTTGGTCACCGGCTACCATGAGACTGCATCTCCTCACGATGCTCCACTGCCTTGTGGATCAGACCTTCAGGTCAAAGGCTCCGGATGTGGCCCCTTAAGAAAACTACCAGCTTCGGTTTAAGCACCTGGGCAGTATCACAGCCGTCACACAAATCAAGTGAGACTTGTGTGGCGCATATATATCTGATGCCCCTTTGGACCAATATCTATGTGTTCAAGTAAAAGTAAAAGTAATGAAAATGACTAAACCTACTAAACATTCTAACAATTCAGTGAGAATTATGGAAATAACGTTTAGTGATTCCAGTTACCAAGTTTTCGGTTCGAACTCATAGTCTGTTTTCCACTTCACATCCATTATCATCCCATTTTAAAAGATAGGGCAAACATCCATTTGTGACAATCACAGAGGAATTAGTTTAACTAAAGCAGTGTCTCAAATAGTACTCTTCATAAAATTCTGACGTCTAACCAGAGTGCATGAAGAGTGAACCCGATAAAACCAGGCTAGTATCAGACCTGGATGCGGATATATAAACCAAGTATTCACCACTTGGCAGGTTCTGGCACATAGACATACTTTTCGACGTGTGACAAAAGTTGAATTCCTTGATCTTAGAGCAGGGTTCGACTCTGTTGTTCATGAAGTTCTGCAGCAGTGTCTGTTAATGAAAGATATACCAAAGAAGTCCATTAACGTTGTACAGATCCTTTATTCGAACGCTACTGGTCGAGTCAGAGCTTATAGTGGACAGTCATCAGAATTGATCAGTTCAAGTGGTGTTCGTTCAGGTTGTCCGCTTTTTCCCATTTTTATTTAACTTTGCCATAGACACGCCTTTACAGATAGTACTTTCATCGTACGACTTTTTGGTTGATCTTTCACCAGGAGATTAACTTGTTGACTTAAAATGCGCAGTCGTTTCTGGTGAAGTTGCTGATGAAATACAGAAACGTCTGATAGTCTTAAACAACAATGCAGGAAACTTCGGTATGCGATTCTCTCCCTCCAAATATGAAATGTCACTTCAGGATTGCCCTGTGTCAACGCCTCAACTGGAGGTAGGGAGTGAAATCATTGCATTTATCAACCTCTTCATTTATCTCAGGAGTCTCATAAGTTCTGGTGGTCTGGTGTCTGATGGAATCTATGCACAGATTCAGAAGGCTCAATTAGTTTTTGCAAACGTGCGTCGCTTGTGGTGTGGTCGAGATATCCCTCGTTAAACTAAAGGACCAGTTAACTGCATAGCAGTTCGCCGTGCTCTGCTTTATGGGTGTGAAACATGCCCATTAAAAGTAGAGGATATTATTAAGACACTAGTTTTCGATAATAAATGTCTTCAAAGCAGTGCTCGTGCATTTTGGGACTACTGAGTAAATAATGTCTGGATTACTAATGAAGTAGTAGGTAAGGATAGGAAATCTGTTGATGAGGTAATAAATCTTCACTAACTAATATGCTTAGGATATACGTTGTGAATGGATAACCACCGCCTACCGAAACGCGCGATTTTGTTTGGTGCAAGAGTAAGCTGGAGAGGAAAGTGGTCAAACCAGAATATGGGATCAGTTCATGAAGCCAATGGCAATTGAACTGAGTTACGTAGCATTTAGTTTCTTTAAGAAAGTATTATTTACCTTGACAAAAATCAGGAATTTCTGCTTGATAAGCGTGACCAACATTGATATGCCTTACAAATAGAGAAATAAAAGCAAAGAAATCGAAATTCGTAATCAAATAAACAAATATACAACTATTAGTATAAGAGGTCTTAATAAGAATGCATAATTTTATGGTTTACATTACAAACCTTTAATACCAATTATTATAATATGTTCGGTAAATTGTGAGGTATTTCCTGTGACAAGTGAAGTTCGGCCTCTGAGTGTATCAGTCAGTTATATACTAATATATGTCAGCTCAGAAGTCCATATATTAAGGGTTTCCTGTGAGACCTTGAGATCTTGCATCCGATCTTTGGTGAGGTAGTGAATGCGCATTGGCATGTAGCCCCATACTAGGACGAATCAGCTGTCAAATACTTCCTGGTTTTCACTGGTTGTTTTAATAAGATCATTTTGTGAGGTAAACTAAAACTATACGATTATTCTTAAACACATCGACACAGTAAACGAACTTGATGGGATTCTTTCGGTTCTATTAAATATCACTAAAAAATTTAAATATTGCTTCTTGTAACCTTAACATTAATCCCGATTCATCATTCCGCACGATCTTTGCTTTTCTTGAAAATCACTTTTAGACATTAACTATTGCTAATGATGTAGATGCCCCCGAATGCCATGACATGACCGAGGGTGGAGAGAATTCGCTCTTCATTTCGGAATGTTCTCACGTGGTGAAGCGTAAACGGCCACCGACAGGGAAGTCCTACTCACTGCGGGGGTGTTGTTTACGAAATCGAGGGGATGAAATGTGAAGATTCGGCGTTTTAACTAGATTCAAAGAATTTTGATAAATAACTCAACCGAAGAGATGTAAGCAACTAATTTGTTACAGAATTAATATGCCACTTGAATCGTCATGTTCTTGAATCTTCCTCATTCCATCAGAACACTAAAGAATCTGACCATAACGTACCAAACATACGAAATCTTAGTCAGTAAATAACCAAGATATGTTGATAAAGATCTGGGCTACAGATATTTGAGTAACTGACTGAAAATTTAAAGACAAGGAAACAATAAATGGACCAAAAGATATTTCCTTCTACAGTATGAGGAAACAGGAAATAGCAAATTTACATAGCCTTGCAACATGAGTGTTCAAGTTAAAGTGGGCGAAATTTGGATTGAACTAGGATACCATGATGGAAAGTCATGCATTGACCGCCTAATTCATCACACCTCATTGATCTCGGTTATTTGCGTAGAAAATATAGAACTTAAAATACAAAATTACTCACGGAATAATACTAGTTGGAACACCTTCATCATCATCCTCCTCCTCCTCCTCATCCTCCATTTCATGCTCCGAGTGTAATTCAACATCGCTATTAAATTGCATTGTTGTTTCAGAATAGTTTGTCGCTTTAGTTTTCATCTCGAAATCAAAATTTAACAACTGTTCATCAGCAAAGGTGAAACTGTGATCAGTTTTATTAAGAATTGAGTCATTACTGTTATTATTGTCATCATCAGTAGGACTAGTAGTAATAATATGGTGATTGATTTGATCATTAGATGCATTTATCTCAGCATCACGTGGACGACGCATAAAACGGTTATCTTGATGTTGTTTTTGTTTACTTAACCGATAGGCTTCATCAGCTTCGGCAAAACGGCGCATGGTCTCATCATCATAACCAAATACGGTATCAGTGTTAGAGAATTGTTGTTGTTGAGATTGAAGTGGTAATTCATTGTCTTGAAGATCTCTTAATTGATTCGCCTACAGTGAACAAAACATGAAATGAAATAGTTTTGAGAATAAATTTATCAGTTTTAATAACAAGTTTATCGTGCAGTTGAAGTGATCATCGAAAATTAAAGAGAACGAGAGTATTGAGCAGGTATTTTGCTTTGGTATGTGAATCGTAGGAGATGTAACTATATGTTAACGACAAACTTGAGAGATCGTTAAATTGGTTTTTATCACACAACCAGAATTTAAATGAAGTTAAAGTATAATTTGTCATTAAAAAACGGAAGAAATTCCGAAAGATTAAAGTTGGTTTTTATGTATCGATAAATTTATGATGTGCACGGGACTTCGAGATATCGTCCTGTAAATACCCTTAACTGTGTCCTAATTCTTACAATGGGCGCCCGAGATGTATTCAAGATTGCAGATACAATCAGCATCAGAATCAGGTATCTCTTATAACTTAACCTTCACGCCATATCATATTCACTATTTAGTGGAAAAATAGATATGTTTATCAATCATAATTGCCTTAAGACGTTTTGAAAAGCTTTTTATCAGGTACATCCTAGCTGTCATTCGAATTTCGTGCAAAACTCGAACAATAACAACATTGAATCTGATCGGCTCGTTGTTGAAATATAGTCTTACTAATTATTTCGTATGCATCCACGACCTTATATTCAGCATGAAATCAGGAATACTTAGTTCTCACAACATGTACGGCATACGTTAGTCTAGTGATCTGGAATCCTACGTTTTACATTTGAACTTAAATCATAAAATAGGATACTTTTGATATTAGAATAAGTATCAGTTTACAAGGTACCAATTCTTTGTGAATTCTTTTTTAAACTATTTGTGTACGATTCCGTTGACAAGCCCTTAATTTAATCTAAAAACCTATTTAGTTTGTTGTTACCAAACCACAGAACTGTTATGAATTGGTCTAATCACTTAACACTTGACCGATGAATTGTAGGATTGAATTCTGCCACAACAACCTTTATTCCGGGAACTAGGTAGTAATATCACTACAGCATGTATGACTTACAGTCTTCTAAACCAGTACTTAGTGGTTATAAGTAACGTGTTTTATCTCAGATCAAGAAAAAACTACAGTACAACTCCGAGTTAATAGCGACGTTAGAATAACCTTATAAATTTGAAGATGATTTTCAGTCAATCACCAGATTGTATAAATCAAAAGAGTGAGACTATAATTTATGGACAACCATCGAGCAACGCTTAAGTGACCCTGAGAATGTCCACCTATAACTAGAACTAAATGACGGTTATGAAGGAGAGTGAGGAATTAGAATTATGATTTACGGTTGTTGGTTGAGGTTGGGAATTATATTTAAAGTTTTCACCACGAACTGACATCAGCTAAAATGCCAAAACGCTATTTAGCCAAATAGATGGATGAAGTTCGCGTCAAAATCCAAGTCCCGTTACTTATATCTGATTGGTTCGTTTATAAATTATAGTCTTGCCATCAAAAGAATTTCACCAGCGAAGTAATGAAACTTGTTGGAGTACAATAGTCTCAGGGATTTTGTCAGTGTTTTTAAAAAAATGTTATTTTTAAGACCTTAATACTGTAGAACTATCGCTAGGCAAACTCCTTTATCTAAAAACAAAAAAAGTCGTCTCTAAATATTATTCACTTAGTGTTGTTTGCTTAAATTTTCCCATTGTTGTTACAATTGATCAGTCTCTTGTTGACATATGTGTATCCTGTCCTAAATAGGATAAAACACATGTCCTGTATCCCACTGCTAGCCACGATCCATCTTTGCTCATAAAGCTTGTGACTTAAGGCAATATCGAGGCAATCCGCACGGGATGAATATATGGCAATAACAGACTGACCAAATACAGTCTTAAATAACAATCGGAAGATACAAGTAAACAACACAAAGTGAATTTAAACTTCACCCCGTTGTAAAAACGAGCGGCTATAAGGACTCAGTAGCTAAATGAATAACGCAATGGCATTTGCAGTAAACGGCAATGAGTTTGAGTCCTGGAAGGAACATCAACTCTGAGATGCAGGTACATCCAACTGACGAGATCCAAATAGGACGAAATGCGTGTCCTGGATTTCACTGCTAGCCGATATCTATCTTTCTTTTTAAATATAATTTTCTGAACACTTTTCATAGAAAATTAATCATCGCCAATGAGATCTTTATTAACAAATTTGGTAAAGAATTATTGAGATTTCAATCTAAGACAACAACGTGCATAATGACGAAAAAGAACGATTTCAGTAGTATATGTAGGTACGTACGATAAAAAGTCATTTAGTTTTGAATTTTGTTCAAAAAGAAAAGTAAATATCATTTCCTTGATTCTGTGTTTGACTTGTCTCTACTAAATGTGATTACGCTCGAAAAAAACATAGGGAATTTAACTAGAGGGAATAAGAACTAAGTAGATGATAGAGCATAGCAACAACAACAACAACAACAAAAATTGAATAAACTGATAATTGGAACATGTAATTAAATAATTTTGTTTTAATTATTATCCCATATCTATTATGTTATTGTTTGACATAACAACACTAAACTAATTCCTAGGTAAAAATACAAGTTAATACAAGGTGGAGTTATACATACACGAACACACACACACACATATATGTACAAACTACTAGACAACAGATATGAAGGATTTTACACTTGACAACTAACAAGAATACTCTCAAACAACATATATTGTTTCAGCAAAATACTACCCTTTCAATATAAGGAAATTTTAAACAAATAAATAACAGTATGGAAAGATTTATGAAATTTCCAGTTTAAACTATGGGTCGGTCCTTAGACCAACATTGAAAACCAGAAAGTTTTGGACAGAACGAAGTACGTGGCTTCTCAGAGCTGCATATCTACGACTTCATAACAACGAATCTAGGACCAACGATTTCGAGGGAGGATGCTTAACCTGTAAGACTAATGAGCTGTAAAACTTTAATCAATTCATGATATTGCGAGACCACCATCTTCCACTGGATGCGATGATTGACTGTACAGAACCCGACATAGTTGAACTCCACTGATTAAAACTATGAAAATCCTAAAATCTCCAAAAAAACCTGTATTGATAATAATCTTATTTTTATTAGTGACTAGCTTCAAGACGTGATTACTGGAAATCTAGTGAGAAGTAGTGACCGGTGGAATTGAACCAAATCGGGTGTGAAACAGTCAACCACTGCAGGCAGTGAACGATGATCGCGCAATATTGTGAATTAATTAAAGTTAAAAATATTTTTATCCCACAGGTATCATACAACTCGAAAAACAGAATAGACACGCACATAACCAAATAGATAATCAATTGATAGGTACATAAACAGATGGAGATACAGCTATTAGATAGGCAAATAGGTAGATAACGCATAGAAAGATAAACAGATAAAGATGCTCGGGAGCAGACATAAGAACTAGCTACAAAAGGAGTGAGCGATGAGCTTGTCTTATCCATATTTTAGAAATAAAAGTTACTATGTCAAATCAATATTTTGGGACATAATAGAGTAGAGAACAACTATTAAATAATACCTTACGTTGATGTGTGCGTGTGTATTTAAGATACTGTTGAGTATTCATCATGAATCGACAAGTAAGCTCATGAGAAATTGAAAACCAAGAAGCCTTAACTATGAATTCCGAAGAAATATCCATCTAAGGAACCAAACGACATTTAAAGCGTTCAGTTTATTTATTTATTTAAACATATAAATATTGGTACAAGGAAGCACCAGATATATATGCGCCTTATAAATCTCCTTTTATTTGTGTGAGGGCTGTGATACTTCCCAGGTGCCCAAACTGAAGTAGGTGATTTTCTTGGGGGACCACACCCGGAGCCTTTGACGGAAGATCTGATCCACAAGGCAGTGGAGCATCGTGAGGAGATGCAGTCTCATGGTAGCCGGTGATCAACGATTGATTCGCATGCCATTTGTTCCTTCAGGATACTGGAGCCAGCCCATGTGCACCATTGGTTTGGAATCAGGGTTTTCCAACTCCTCTAGGTGGACTCGCCATGTCCACCAACCCAGTTAAAGCGCCTGACATTCGCTTTTCGTCCTCTCCATTTCGTAAACAACAGCCGTGGTGAGAGAAGGCAGTGAGAAGGACTTCCCTGGCAGAGGCTATATATTCTCGTGGCCATGTGAGAGCATTTCGAGAGGGAGAGCGGACTCTCCCCACTCTCGACCGTACCAGGGCATTTGGGGGAGTTCAGTAATCTTATAATTCTCCTGAGACACTGATATAAGAACATCTTGAGTTATGGGACATTCGCAGGTTTAGGGTTTCTTAAGTATAAAGCAAAATTATTTATATTAAAAGCTTTGGTTATCTCACCTTTTATGATTAGAACAATGTAACAGAAGAGATAAAATTAATTCACACTAAGAGAAGTCGTATGTATTTCATTGTACGAAGATTAATGCTATTTGTCAAATGACTGCTTAAAAACCTGAACGCCTCGACTGCTGAATGTGAATACGAGGACAAATTGTTTTAAACGAATATCTTACACTACATAGCATACTAACAGATGCTCATCGTCGACTTAAAGAATGGAAACAACACTATGATGCAACGGACAGTAAAGATTTCAATCGCTTACTCAAGATCAAAATGTTTATTTTACCAAATAACAGAGCTACACGTATCCATCACAAAGATATCTCAAAAGTGATTCCAAAATAGCATCCCAGAAAATCTCACATTGTCCATGGTTTCCTTAAGCTGGAACTAGGTGGGAAAGGTAGTGAGGAGGTGATTTTATGATATGAAAGAAAGTCGTATTTCTAGATATGGTGCGACACAATGACTTGTGATGTTACCAAGCATGATTCAGAATAGAAGTCAGTGGAGATCCTACTGTAGCTTTCTTTTACAATATTCATTAAGGTGAGAGGGACTATATGAATCGATAGAAAATCCCTCTAGGCTATATTTATAACTGAAATGTATCTTCTACCATACACTATAATTGTTTATTTATTTTTCCATTTTGTTGCATTGCCTTTACCTCTTCTATCTTTACACAATCTGATCTCTTTATTTTATCCGGTGCATACTACTTTTAATGTTTAGTTGTACCAGATTTTATGTACTAAATAATAGAGAAATAAAAAAATAGTACGAATTTCAGAAGTAATGAATGTAGAAGGAATTAACATTAAGTTACTATGGTATTTATAAACAAAGCTTCACTTTCATATGAGATTCACATGCGTAGTTCAGTACAATAGAACCAAAGATAGAAATTGTAAAGAAAACTTACCGAATCTTTGGTTGTATTACAATCAAGAATTAACACAGGAGCCGACTTTGGTGTGAGCTGTTGACGTCGTCTACGTGTATAGGCTATTGGTCGATTTAAATCACGCATATACAAGTCAGTGATTGAGCCTGTATTTGTGTTGTTGTCATAACTATTATTAAAAGCATTAGCATTAGTAGGACCAGTAGATATATTATTACTAGAATCTACTGTACTAATACTCTGATTCGAAGTGCTAATCTCACTGGTATTACTCCTAGCACCACTGCTACTTGCATGACGTCGTTTCAACTGACCACCAAGATTGACCCCACTGCCAGTGGCACACATAGTAGTAGTTTCCGAGTCATTATGATGGGCGATCGATGAATAATAATTAGAGAATCGACGATTCATCAGTGTTCCGCTCCCAACGGAACGTGCCCCTGTCGACGTCATCACTGATGTTCCTCCTCCTGATACAGATGTTGGAGTTGGCACCCATCGTGATAATGAAGAAAATAAACCGGAACCTTGACGAACTGGACTAAGCATTGGAGGTGGCGTATATGGTGGAGGACTAGAATTAAGCGAAGAGCGTTTTGAACTCCATACACGTGGAGAACGTAATCTTGACAAATTTGCACCGGTCTAGAGAAAGTAATCACATTGAAAATAAAGTTATTTAGTTCAATTATTACTAACCCAAAAATGTTTTATTTTTGAATTTGAAAAATGTTTAATTCATTAAAAAATCGACATTCTTAAAATTCAGATAGAATTAATATTGACCTTCATTCTAATGAACTGTGGGCTTTCATCAGTTAACTGATAAAAGCATAAGACGTTATCGTCCTAAACGGATCGATGTAAGCGAATCGGCTGTAGCTTCTGTCACAAGTTAATATGAAACAGAGCTAGGCTAAAGGTTAGATATCGACCCATCCAAAAGTTGAGTTGAACATTTGCTGCAATTGAATTACACCATGAAAATGGCAAGTACAAAAGTTTGCAGCTTAGCAAGACGTCCCAATTATGAGCACTGGCTCTCTACAGGCTCCTTACAACCCGTTAAAGTATGTCGATCTACTCCAGCAAACCTCGAGCTTGACTATAAACGAGGATTGTTACGTAGTGAAATTAAACAAAGCTTGCGAAAAAACCAAGAAGCCTGTTGGTCGAAGAATGGTAACGAGTTGTCAACACCAGCTGCATTTGGTAACTGACAGACAGTATTTCAATTTAGATATGAAGGTTTTTTTGATTTGTCATTACCACTTTCTAACATTGGTAAATAGATATTAGTCAGTAACTTGAATATAAGTAGATGAAACGTCATTTGAAGCTGTGATTCAATGATCGGAAATTGACTAGATATTTAATTGATTAATTAACATCTTAATGAAGTTAAGATACTAATTTGTATATACGTTGCACATCATATTAAAACGAAAATTAAGATAATATTCATATTCATTTAAAGAATATAATCACCATAAACTATGTAACTTGGTCAAATCTGTGCCAGAATGTGATGTTCTAGTTTAGAACTATTGAGAAGTATTAAGCAACGAGAACATAGTTCAAAAAAGAAATGAGACAGAATACAGGAACTGGAAATCTAGAGCATGACGAAGAATCAATGCCTTTGAACTAATGGGGTTGTTTCTGACCCATATCATCCAACTTCTTTAGCTACTGAATGAGGTTATAGCATGGATAGCAATACGGCAGTTTGTATCAAGTAGTATGACTTGCAACAAAATTCAATAACTTAGTTGACTGTCCCTAAACTTTCTTCCAGATTATTCCTACAACATATAAGCCTGGAGTCAAGGTAAGCGATCGTCCAAATGAATATCTTGGAATGGTTAACATTTAATGAAACAAACGGTAAATGAAATCTACCAACAGAAGTCATGCATTTATAAGGTATAAGTGTTGGGAAGGTATTACGTATTTCTCGAAGAAGTTGAGAAAAGTGGTTTCAGTAACACTTGACAATTACCACAAATCCCTATACTGAAAACGACTCTCGACTTATAGAAAATATCAATCAAGAATTTCAGAATAAAAATAAAGGAGATAATTTCTAAAAAAAAAAATGGAAACAGTGACAGGATAAAGATCAACGATAACAGATCAAGATCTAGATCCACCAAATAAGGTGTAAGTTAAATGTGTAGAAAGTCGAATTCCCCAATGTTATCTGAAGTTTGTGCAGATGTTGCTGTTTAGAAGAACTACGAAGGTTTCACAAATACATCATCTACAGAAAAATACGAAACTGCACCAAAATCACTTATCGCAACCATAAATTTCCATCACTAACTCTTACTTGACATACTTTTATGCTTAAAGTCAGTATCGACAAATTGTTAGTCTCATAATTAGCCAAAATTCATAATTAGTTTCATTTCTATCAAGAAATATTCAAGGTCGTTTGGGCAAGGATGACCTCAAGTAAACAACCATTAATCCTAGAAACATTGGATATGTGCCTCATTCCTGCATGTAATCTAGCGGTGAGCACCTACGTGGCTACCTGAGACAGTTGCGAGAACCTCTGGGATTCCTAGCAAGTGCTTCAGTTTACTAGATTAGCATAATATTTTCAAGCGACTAGAGTTAGAAATGCAAATTACTTGATTCCAGATCAGTGGTCTGAAGGTCAGTAGTTCGCTACGAGATCCGAGGGATCTTGATTCAATCCTTGACGGGATGGCAGGTGAACAATCCTGAGGAGCAACATATTGAGACATCACACATGTTTAGTGCCTTCTGGCTTTTAGTGGTTGTCTTGTTGAAATCAATTTGCAAATAAAATATAAAAATTCAAAAGAACATCTTACTTGTGGAGGAATTGATATAGGCGCTGGTTTACTTTTCATTTTTTTCGGTGGCGGTAATGCTGTTGGATTACGGAATAAATTATCCTCAGCTAGTGATTTCGAAAGTTTCGCTGCAACCGAATCGTTTCCTGAATTGCAAAGATACTTATTATTATTATTATTATTATTATTATTGTTGGGTGTTGTCTGATTTATTGTTTTTTTGGTAATTTCACCCTGATCATCACAGTTGGTAATATTATTATTTTGTGTAATTGATGGTGGTACAGTCAAGTCCAATAATTCGGACTGGTTTAAATTGGACACTGAACATGAAGAAGTAATTGGAAGATGTAAACTGATAGGTAATTTTTGATGCTGTTGTTCATGATGATGATGAGTTGGTACTTTTGAAAAGTGTTGTTGTTGATGTTGTTCGATACTCAAATCTTCTATATCCATAGAACGAAATGAATTAGTCATTAAATGTGAATCGGTACATGAAAAAAAAGATGTTGTTTCTTCTTGTGATATCGATGATAATGCAGATGGCAATGAAAATGGTAATACTGGTGGAGACGTTGTCGGTGATAATGATGGCACTAGAAATGATGATGATGACGATGATGGAATACATGTCATTTTATTGGTTGGAAATATACTTGACATATTGTTCATAATATTTATTGGTCGGTATAAACATTCATCTTCTAAAATGGAAAATGACTGGTTAACTGTTTCTACTGTAGACCTTGCTACTAATAAAGGTGTTTGGTGTTGCGATGGTAGTGGTGGTGGTTGTGCTAGTGCTGGTGATGGAATTGGAGTTAACGATAGTTCTGGTGTTGTTGGACAAGAATTATGCATATCACATGTTAGTGACGATAATCCATTTGGATCAGTAATATGGCTAAAGACGAAAAAGAAACAGATGGAAGAAAACATATGTGTATCACCGTGAGCATGATAACTTTCGACTATTAATAATGGTTACATTATATTATGAACTGACTGGACATGAAAATGTAACCGTTTGATCCCGACAGAATCCTCACCGCAGTTAACAACCTGAAATAGTGCTCGAGCTTGCATATTGTGATGACCTGATTGATTCACATAATGTGAAACATTTGTGCTTTTAGTTCCTACCATAACCAGATAGGTCAGTCGGAGCGAGATGAAACTAAGGACAGCAAACGTAATACCTTAAACGAAGTTCTGCAGCTGATTGTATAGCTGCGTTGTGTCAGTAAAGTATTATTTCAAAACAACCGACATCTGTAACGATTTCGCTTTTTCACAACAGGACGGGGTTAGAAAAAATTATCCTTAAAAAAAACACACCCCACCTAACCCTGTGGTTTTTCTTAGCTAACAAACATTGAGTATCAGTTCAATTTATCACATTACAAATGAGAACTCAAACACAAGGAATTTTGTTTCAAAAATAAGCAGGCAAAAGTATGAAATGAATATATCAGCATTGAATAAAACTTAAGTAATGACAGTGGTTAACCAATGAGATTTCAAGTAGACAATTAAAGCTCATGTCGAATAATCAAGTAGGAAAATGTTAACCACTGATTGAGGATCTGCTAATTACGAAGAAGAGAAATGTTTTAAGAACGTCCAGAACTGTTTATTGTTACTACAAAAAAGATAAGTAAGATAAAAGTAGCATTTAGGATCAATCGAAAGTACGTACGATCGATTTACAGCGGATTTTAGAGAAGACGTGATAATTCAGCGTCTACAAGAGAAGTGATTTAAGAAGATCATATACTTGTGGCTGTGGTACCTAAATGACTTTTTCCGCTTGATCATGGTTAAGACCCTAACCCTAAACCATACCAACAACATTGAAGCTATGTGGTCGAGGCTAAAACAAGTTTTTGAGCCATGTAAAAGAACAGTATTCGCTTTAATTTTTTAGGTTTGTATAACATATTTTTACTGTATACTAATTGTCTTCTGATTGGCTAATATTTCTCAAGATCATTTAAGATTCGTACAAAGGTCGTCCATAAAGTTTAGTCTCGCTTCGATGGTTTTATTGATTGATCCCGTCCATTTGATGACTCTACTTTATTTCCAAACAATTGCTACTCCAGCCAACATTTGGCATCGAGGTAGGAATGATTGTTGCAGATACGTCATACATGTCCCAGTCACCTCAGTAGACAAAGATTCGCGTTTTCAGTCATCGATGTATGATATTTGCATGATTTCCCTCTACTCAATGTTAAAAAAATTACCAGATCAATCCATTTATTATAATTCAGTTTAAAAAAACAACATAATATGAGGTATACAAATATACAGGTATAGATAGACCCTAAAAATGATGACCAATCGCTGAATGATCATTAGAAGGAAGAGAGTTAAATTTGTGTCGTGAAACAACAAAGATGTTATGACTGTTATATTCAAAAGGATCACAAGTTGAATTAATGTATGTGTGTGTGTATAGACTGATGTCAGAACAAGAACGAGTCGATACGACAGACAGCTAGTAGATGAGCGGAAGAGTGAGCGAGAGAGTATAACGTGCAAAATGATAAATACACGAAAAACACTTCTTTACAAACCAAAATAAGTCATTTTATGTGTTTCCATGAAAAAAAACCTGGTATTTTTCCTACATAATAAACATAATAAGCATAAGAAATATTTGGCTTCATATGATATCACATATATCGTGAGTGCGCACTGCTGAGGAGTGCTATACTAGGACGAAACGGTCGCCCAGCGCTTTCAAGTTTCCAATGGTAGTCTAACATTAATCGGTTTATGATCTCAATAATAAGATGAATTTGGGAAGCTTTTTGAATGGGAAAACAACTAGAGAATCTCATACAATTACCTTTGATTAATAAACTTTTATGAAGTGAAAATAATAAATACCATGGTGAGATGAAGTAGAACTCATTTCATTTAGGGAACACTAAATCTTTCACACAATGATTTGTGTAAATTGGTTAAGTGCTCCGGCGCGAAGCTGGTAGGTCCTGGCTTCGAATCTCGCGAGTGCGGGATCGTGGATACGCACTGTTGAGGAGTCCCATAATAGGACGAAACGGCCTTCCAGTGCTTCCAGGTTTTCCATGGTGGTCTAGATTCAATCGATTCATGATTTCAACTATGAAAATACTGTAATATCCACAAAAACCCCTTCCGAAATAAATAAAACATGCTTTACAAGTGTAGTTTCGTGTATAACATTACATAACATTATTTAGTTAGTTCACAAATGAAAAATAATTACGATTGCTTTTTATACTCATTTGAGTTGTTGAACTTATAGATGAACAGTGTATTTGTATGTGAAATTGTGATGATTTTAGGAGAGCTAATGAGAAAAGTAAGAGTAATTATCAAATAAACACGGCTAAAACTGACCTTTGCATTAACAATTCGGCAACAACATCACTTGACGGTTGATCACCAACAACTCCACTGGAATTAGTACCTTTGCAATAATGACCGCGAAGATGATGATAATGATGATGAAGACGATAATGATGGCTATCATATTCCGGTAGACAAAAATAAGATTTATTCAGAAATTCATTTTTATGGCTTGTTAAATCTGATGGTTGTAAATGGGACTGTGAATTACCAGGACAGGTTAGCGGAGAAATTGATGAATTATGGGACGATGATGACAATGGTACAGATAATGAAAATGATGACCAAGAGGATTGTGTTGAAATACTGTTAACTGCTGGTGCAGAAATATGTCGTTTCCTTTCTACTTCTAAACAGGTTAAACAACAATGACTTCTAGATGTATGTTTTATAAATGAATCCGGTTGTTCATTACGAAGGAATAAATGTTTGTAATTATGATCTTTATTATCGACATTATTTTTAGTATTATTATTGCTTATATTATTGTGATTTCGTATAGAACCATTCATATGATTAAGTTGATTTTGTAATAATAATTCAGTGCCATTGAAAAAGCGACAATTATCAATTTTATCCAAACAAGGATAAATCCCATGATTCGATGAGGATGAGGTGGATGACGTAATTGAATACTTTGTTGGTTGTTGTTGATGGTTTTGATAGTGATGATGATGATGATGATGTGATGATGGTAGTTGTGGTGGAAGAGAATAAAGGTGTTCTTGTTCAAGATCCAGTGTGGATGATATTGGTGGTCCAAGGTGTGGTTGTTTATACTGTAATCGATTTCGACTTAAATTAAAACAATTATTTCCATTTACTGATAATGAATATTGATTACTATTACAAGCATGAGTAGTTTTAGTTGTACTTATTGTATGAATGAAATTTGAAGACGTTATAACAGACAGTGGAGAAGTTGTTGTAGCTAATGTTTTAGCCGTTGAATTACAACAAGATGATAATGTCATATTCATTACAGAACAACAATTTGGATTCAATAATGAAATGCATGTGGAAGGCATAAAAATACTATTGTTATTATTATGCACTGTAGTTGTATTCATAAATTCATGTGTGAATTGACGTGTAAAATCCATACTACCTAATGAGTTTACAACAGGTTGATAATATGAATATTGAGAACATGTATGTGACGATGGTTCTGTATTCCGTCGACAAATTGTATTATTATTATTATTAAAATGATCATTATCATCTCCTTGTTCATGATATTGATGACGATTAGGGTAATATGATGAAATTGATGGTGGAATGTCTACAATTAAAATAAACGTAAAACAAAAACATGAAACTCAAAGTAAGATGTAAGAGTGCGGGATCGTGGGTGCGCACCGCCGAGAAGTCCCATGATAGGACGAAACGACCGTCCAGTGCTTTTATTAGCTTTAATTGACTCATGATTTCAACTTTGAAATATACTGAAATCTCCACAAATCCCCTTTTGATTAAGATGTATTATGTTATTATCTTAAAACTAGGGTTTTTGCTAAATGTTATTTACGGTCACAAACCAGTAAGATTTTATTTTACAGAAAAAAAAGAACTCATCTCAACACGAAACATAAACACGATGAAACCCAGGAAGGAAGGAGTGCAGAAAAAATATGACTATTCGAGAAGTTAAGAAAAACCGAAATTGAAGTAATACTCTGTAAATATGGTAAAAAAAAGACAAGCAATAGAAGACCTTGAGAAATATAAGAAAATTAGCAGGGTAAAAGGGATAATAACCAATCAGGAAACGGTAAAGGTCGTGCCAAAAAAGTTAAAACTAGAAAAAATGTTACCGCAATAATGGTTACAGTGTGGTGTATGTTATTTATGTCGATAGATATAAATAGTATGTAACACCAATTAGAAGAGGAATGCATGGTAGCAGAAGGCAATGAAGGTCGACTTGAATAAAATAGAAACGGATATAAAAGGGAATTGTGATTTGAAAGAATCATGAAGAATAAGAACAATAAATGATGGAAGATTTGCAAATGAAGTATTTAATGTATGGTTCTTATATTTTATCGAATGACTCTGTGGTTTTGTAATGAACCATAAATGGGGCGCTCCCACCTGTTTTGTTATTCACATTAACAGGATAGAAGTATACATACAATCATTTGAGGAACTGGAAACAGTACCAATGATTCTACAGGAATAATTTCACAGGAAAAAGTATACGAACAGTTTTCTGTGAAGGACCTAAATAGAATATCGGGATAAGTGTAGTTTTAACGAGCTAGAAATAAGACTAAAGAGCTCAAAACGACCTCCTGAGGCAGATGAAAAAGCATTGTTTTTTTTTTTGAAGTGTTAGCTCCATACTCATCCATATAACAGGATAGTGTGTTACTTTCTTTTACGTCTTTACTATTCAACCTTTTCCAGTTACTTCCTTTCATTGTAGGAAGCCAGGATTAATAATAGAATCTTGTTATCTGATGCCAAGCATTAAGAAGGGTGATTATTAAAAAGCTGTAATAAATAAAGTAGTGAAGAAAAAGAAAAAAAATGTTTCTAAGAGTGTGGAATTTATTTGATCTACCCCCTTGTCCTCGTGCCTCTACGACCAATCAGCAACTTAGTTTTAGACATCGTATGATATATAATAAAGGCACTTTAATGATAAATTCATTTGTTCAAAACATCAGGTAAGATGAAAAATACATAAACAAATTATTTGATTTTATAAAATGTTGCTTTCAAATGCTTTTAGAAACATCTTAAGATATTCAGCTGGAAGAACATATAATTAATCAGTAGACAAAATTTATTGTAATAATTTACACAGTTGAAAAAGTAGATGGTATACAGAAATTGACAAAACTATATAGTATACTGATATATTTGAGGAGTTAACTAATTAGAATCATCGTTGAACAATCAGTTGAGTGGAACTCATCACTATACGTCAACTTCATCGACTATGAGAAGGCGTTTGACAGCGTGGATAGGAGAACATTGTGGAAACTTCTTCGACACTATGGAGTTCCTCAGAAGATCGTCAACATTATCCAAAACTCATACGATGGATTACAGTGCAAAGTGGTGCATGGAGGACAGCTGACAGATGCATTTCCAGTAAGGACCGGAGTCAGACAAGGCTGTCTACTCTCCCCATTCCTCTTCCTTCTAGTGATTGACTGGATTATGAAGAATTCGACATCTGAAGGGAAATACGGAATACAATGGACTTCTCAGAATCAATTAGATGATTTGGACTTCGCAGATGACCTAGCCCTCCTCTCTCATACACACGACCAAATGCAGATGAAGACAGCGAATGTAGCAGCAGCCTCCGCATCGATAGGCCTCCACATTCACAAAGGAAAAAGCAAGATTCTCAAATGCAACACGGAGAACACCAACCCAATCACACTTGATGGCGAAACTCTGGAAGAGGTGGAAACATTCAAGTACCTGGGGAGCATCGTTGATAAACAAGGAGGATCGGATGCAGATGTAAAGGCAAGGATTGGCAAAGCAAGGTCAGCATTTCTACAATTGCAGAACATATGGAACTCAAAACAACTCTCAACCAATTTCAAGGTGAGAATCTTTAATACGAACGTCAAGACAGTCCTACTGTATTTATAAACAGTTGTCTACGCAAAATACTCAACATCCATTGGCCGGATACTATCAGCAACAGCGTTTTATGGGACAGGACAAACCAGCTTCCAGCTAAAGAGGAAATTAGGAAAAGACGTTGGAAGTGGATCGGACATACATTAAGGAAATCACCAATGTGCATCACGACTCAATCCCTAACTTGGAATCCGGAAGGGAAGCGGAAAAGAGGAAGGCCAAAGAACACACTACGCCGGGAAATAGAAGCCAATATGAAAAGGCTGAATAGCAACTGGAAAGAACTGGAAAGTAAGGCTCAGGACAGAGTTGGATGGAGAATGCTGGTGAGCGGCCTATGCTCCTCGACGAGGGGTAACAGGCGTAAGTAAGTAACTAATTAGAACAAAGATCATTTTCTCTCATTTATTTTGCATGAAATTTCAAGTGTCATTGGTAGATGAAAACTAACAATAATTGATTTCCAAAAAGGCTCTGAATCAACGGAAATATATAATACTTAATGGAAATGTGATTTTAAAATGATGTTTAATCTAAATAACAAAACATACATATTCTGAAAGCAGATTGCATGTCAAAGTGTTTAATGTGATTCAATACATACTGAAGAGTATTTAATGAAGCAATATAACATTTTCTCATTTTAACTTTGTTACTAGTTCTCAGATTTAAGATTTAGAAGTTTGTAAATAGGAAGGTAGCGAAGTATGATATTAGTTTGTGATAAAAACATCAACCTTATTTTTTGTAAATTCAACTCAAAATTCCGGACTTAATTTTCATATCTAGCCATAATCTTTTTATAATAAAACTAATGTTACGAGGTGATGAAAACTGTATGCGGTAATAAACCGTAACTCAAAATATTATCACGACTTATAATATGTTAAATTGACTTTTTGCCTTTACAGAAATGAATAGTTCGGTTTAATTAATCAGATCAAAACTGTAATTCCACAATTATTCCATCGTCCTTTATTGTCAAATGTCTTGTAACTATGCAGCGTATCCTAATTAGCTGATAATTCACTGAAGGTCATTAATAAATTATGCTTTTACTGAGAAATTTGATCACCTCAACTTCTTATTTTTTGAATAAATCAAACAATATGATTGAACACACATATCTCACAGTAGAAGTAAATACAGTCTTGTTCCAAAAGAATTAAAGAGTTTATAATCAGAGTAGCCGGTGACCGACGGTTGATTTATATGCCATTTGTTCCCTCAGGATAATGAAGCCCATGTGAACCATTGGTTTGGAATCAGGGTTTCCCATCTCCTCTATGTGAACATTCCGTGTCCAATAACCCGGTTAAAGCGCCGAACATTCGTTTTCCGTCCTCTCAATTTCGTAACCAACACCTCCATCACGAGAAGGCAGTGAGTAGGATTTGTGTGCCAGAGGCTATATATTCACGTGGCCACATTTCGAGAGGGAGAGCGGATTCTCTTCACTGTCGGTCGTACTAGAGCATTTGTTTAGTATATCTAAAATGTAGCTAATATTAAAATCTAGAAAATAAAAAAATATTTCGTCTCATATGAGACTTGTCATTTCAAAATTGTTATTCTTAACACAGACTCAAATCCAACACTTTCATGAAAGAAGTTTTATATTAAAAAGAAAAAGTGTAGCGAAAAATAAAGTCCGTTTGTTTTGTTTTTCAAAGTAAACAATTCATTAGAAATAGTTCTTTTTCTTCTATTTGATGTAATTATTTTTTATTCCAAAATCAAACTGAACTACTTTATGAAATGTGAACAGATGTTATAAAGTTAGTAGATAATCATTTTCTTCTTCTTCTTCTTCTTCTTCTTCGTTGTTGTTGTGTTGTTTTTTTTTTTGGAAGAAAGAAAAATGAGGAATCAGTTAAACTGGGAATAAAAAAAAACAACTATGAATCCTCATATACTATTCATTATTAGTATGAGTAGATAATAATGAGATAATGTTCATTTCTATTTCAAAAGATGAATGGGTATAATTAAAATCATTCGTTGAAACATGTTTATCAATATTGAAGAATGACTTCAAACACTTTATCCCCCCTTCCCCCCTCTCTCTCTCTCAAAAAAAAAAAATGACACATTAGGTAAACATTAATTATCAGTCAAAGATTATCCATTTTGAAATGACAATCTCGACATGAACGCCAAGAAAAAAAAAGAACGTTACGCGGGTATTGAAATAAGATTCTAATATTTTTAAATAGACAATAAACTCAACTGTTTAATCGCAACTATGTGTATGATTATGAAATATGAGTGTTGAAAGTAGAAGTTATGCAAAGGCTGATAGGTATTTGGTCACAAACATTCGCACCCAAATGCTCTGTTACGGCCGAAGGTGACGAGAATCTGCTCTTCCTCTCGAAATGATCTCACATGGCCAGCGAATATATAGCCTCTGTCAGGGAAGTCCTACTCACTGCCTTCTCGTGGCGGGGGTGTTGTTTACGAAAGTGAGAGGACGAAAAGCGAATGTCCGGCGCTATAACCGGATTGGTGGACACGGAGGGTCCACCTAGGGGAGTTGGAAAACCCTGATTCCAAACCAATGGTGCACATGGGCTCCAGTTTCCTGATGGAACGAATGGCGGAAGAACCTGTCATTGGTCAACGACTACCATGGGACTGCATCTCCTCACGATGCTCCACTGCCTTGTGGATCAGACCTTTAGGTCATAGGCTCCGGGTGTGGCCCCCTAAGAAAACCACCTGCTTCGGTTTGGGCACCCGGGCAGTATCACAGCCCACACACAAATGAATGAAATGACGAACTCTATTGACGATTCTATTCCTGCTCATATTATAAGCAAGACAATTTACGTTATTATTATCATCATTATTATTATTATTACTATTATTATTATTATTATTATTATTACTTACCATATCGCTAATTCACCCCCTTTTACCCCCAATTTGTGTAACCTTACTCTTCAACTTATGCATCAGCTCGCTCTTGGTGGAAAATCTGTCCTATCTAAACGATCTCCAGTCACTGTCTGGTTGAAAGTGAATGCTTCCACCGATAATGAATACTGAGGCAGTCTTTCTGAAACCGCGTACGCCGCTCAAGCTGGCTTCCTTCAACGTTCGCACACTAATGCAGATCAGACAACAGATAGGGCTGGCTATGTCTTTGCAAGGTCTTAATGTTGATGTTTGCTGTCTATCCGAGACCCGTATTCAAGACTCTAGTGAAGTACTACAAATCCGCTCTCCATCTGTCGCCTCGAAAAGCTTGTTCCACGTGCGCTTATCCGGGGACCCTGTGGCATCTTCGTCTGGTCTTGCTGGCGTTGGTGTCGCACTAAGCGCTAGGTCTGAGGCAGCACTAATCGATTGGATCCCCATTAACAGTCGGTTATGTGCTGTTAGATTAGAAAGTTCCATCAAAGTGAGAAGAAATCGGCGTGAGAAACGGTGTCTTTTCGTCATCTCCGCCTATGCCCCGACAGATTGCAGCCCGGATGCAATCAAGGATAAGTTTTACCATCAGTTAACAGTTCTTCTCCAGAAAGCGCGTTCGACAGATATTGTAGTACTAGCCGGAGACTTGAATGCACAGGTCGGGCGTCTAGGCACAGAAGAGAGTCGTCTAGGTGGCCGATGGGGACTTGTTGGTCGCCGGACAGATAACGGGGACCGTTTGCTGCAACTGTGCACAGACCACAACCTGTTTCTGGCCAGCACTAACTTCCGGCACAGTCATCGCCGGTGTGCCACCTGGCGTCCTCCCTCTGCATCCCAAGCCTGGACTCAGATTGATCACATCGCGATCAGCTACCGCTGGCGTGGTTGTGTACAAGACTGCCGCTCCTTTTGGAGTACCTATCTGGAGTCTGATCATGCCCTGGTCTGCGCCAATCTCACCTTACTTTTCAGTGGCCGAAGGATTGACCACCACCAACGGATTGATATTAGTAAACTGGCTGCAACTCCTGTTGTAAGTAAGTATCGAGCGGAGCTAGCCTCTAGGCTAGCTAACACCCCACCGAAAAGTATAGATGAGCATTGGTTGCATCTTCACGACGCCATGAAAATGGCGAGTAAAGCCGCTTGCGGCTTCGCGAAACGTCCCGCTTACAAGCACTGGGTTTCTTCTGGCTCCTTACAACTGATGGAAGCCCGTCGGTCTACTCCGGGTGACCGTGAGTTTGACCACAAACGAAGGCTGTTACGTAATGAAATCGGGCAAAGCTTGCGTAAGGACCGGGAAGCCTGGTGGTCGGAGAGTGCTAATGAGATGGAAGCAGCAGCTGCATCTGGCAACTGCCGGAAGCTCTTCCAACTCATCCGAGCCACTGGCAGCAAGAAGTCTGGTGTGAGTGAAACAATCTACGAGGACGACGGGATGCCAATCACTAACATCTGTCGACGTCTTGGATGATGGGCAGAATTTTTCGAAGGGTAGTTCAACTGGCCTGCTGCTCCGGCAACATCAATCAGCTTGTCCTGCCCCCCATGGCCGGTGACGACTGATCCACCAAACGAGGCGGAAGTCCGCAAGGAACTCCAACTCTTGAAACGTTACAAATCACCGGGCCCAGATGACTTACCTCCGACTCTTTTTAAAGATGGTGGTGACTTTCTGGCTAAGGAACTGACTGCGTTGTTTGGAAAGGTCTGGGAGCAAGAAAGTGTTCCAACATCTTGGAATGAGTCAATAGTCGTCCCTATCTTTAAAAAGGGTTCGCGTTGTTCCTGCAATAACTATCGGGGGATAAGTCTACTTCCGATTGCGTCCAAACTATTGGCTTCTATCATTCTTCGTAGGTTGTTTAAAACCCGAGAACGATTGACTCGCGAGGAGCAGGCTGGTTTTCGTTCTGGTCGAGGATGCATTGATCACATCTTCACCCTCCGCCAAATGTTAGAACACCGTCATACTTATCGCAGGCCAACAATCGTAGTGTTTCTTGATATCAGGGCTGCCTTCGATTCGTTGGACAGGACTGTTCTCTGGGATTGTCTATTGAAGAAGGGTGTGCCTGAGAAGTTCATTAACATCTTAAAGGCCCTGTACACGAACACCTCAGGCAGAGTGAGGGCATACAACCACCTTTCTCCCTTGTTCCATTCGAGCAGTGGGGTTAGGCAGGGTTGCCCGATCTCACCATTCCTCTTCAACTTTGCCATCGACGACATCTTGGAAACAGCTCTGATGGATGTAAGTAATGGTGGTGTGGATATGTTGCCTGGAGAACGACTTCTCGACCTTGAGTATGCGGATGATATTGTCTTACTGTGCGATAATGCCCAAGGCATGCAATCAGCACTTAATCAGTTGGCAATCAGTGTCCGCAGGTACGGCATGTGCTTTCCACCCTCCAAGTGCAAAGTACTTCTACAAGACTGGCAGGATTCTAATCCTGTACTCACCCTGGATGCTGAGCTGATCGAAGTAGTTGAGAAGTTCGTGTATCTAGGTAGCTATATAAGTGCTGGTGGTGGCGTGAGTGATGAGATTGATGCACGTATAAGGAAAGCCAGAGCGGCTTATGCCAATCTGGGCTATCTTTGGCGCCTTCGTGATGTTAGTCTGGCTGTAAAAGGTCGGATCTATAACGCGTCGGTGAGAGCAGTTTTGCTCTATGCTTGTGAAACCTGGCCTCTCCGAGTTGAGGATGTTAGACGTCTCTCTGTGTTCGATCATCGTTGTCTCCGAAGGATTGCTGACATCCAGTGGCAACACCATGTTAGTAATGCAGAGGTTCGGCATCGTGTGTTCGGGCGCAGAGACGATAATTCAATTGGTGTCACCATCTTGTAACACCGACTTCGGTGGCTTGGACATGTTTTACGAATGTCGTCCCAGAGACTTCCACGTCGTGCATTATTTGCCGACCCTGGGACTGGTTGGAAAAAGCGGAGAGGAGGTCAGTGTATGACATGGTGTCGTGGCATGAAAGAGAGCTGCAAAGGGCTAGCTTCCGTTGGTCCTTCACGACTCCTTGGTTGGGGTCCGAGAGATGGTGCAACACAGTGGCTAGAGACGTTATCAGATATGGCTCAGAATAGAAGCCAGTGGCGATCCTGCTGCAACCTTCTTTTACTTTCTACATAAAGTATGGTTCTTACTTTCCTATTTGAAAGAGTCTTCTGGTTGTACATTTTAGTCCGCCTTATCTTTTCATCCCTTCTCTTCCTACTTTCATTATTTTGTGTGGCGCATATGTACCTGGTGCCCTTTTGTACCAATATATATGTGTTTAAATAAATAAATAAATAAATAAAATCCTTGTACCAATATTTATATGTCTAAATAAATAAATAAATAAACATTCTCAAAGCATTGCTTGTATGTAGCAATTGAAATACAGAGTGATTAAATCAAAAAGTTTCACGTCAGTAAATCAGTCAAGTTGAAATATGTGGTTAACATTCGAAATGCTCCAATTACGAAGTTGATGGACAACAGGGCTTAATTTCCCTTCATAAACCATGATTCGTGTTATTTGAGTAAACATAAGGTTAATGAGTTATTTATTACACTATTATTCTTGAGATAAGAGGTGATTGATGGGAAGCGATAGAAAACGTTGAAAATAGGTTTCTCGTTAGTTAGCACCCGAAAGTAAGATGTACTCTTAATCTTAAGAAAACATGCAACTTAGTGGGACTCGAATTCACGATACTCAGTTACACGATCGCAGATGCTAAAACTGAGCTATTCGGACCATGACTGATCTTGTAATAGCCCTTTAGTCCTGATCATGATTAAATTAATAAGATAACATACGAGTAGAAATAATGGTAGTACCAAAAATACAGTTCGAAAAGGAGAAACTATATTCACAAGTAAAAGGCAGAAAATCATGCTGAAGCTCACGAGTCAAAGGGAGAGTAAGAAGGAATGCATCAGTACTACTAAAATTAATTCTGACCTATGTCATCTAACGATTCCAATTAGTGAGTGTAATTGGTTATGAAGTGGACCCTTATATGGTTGTCTGCAACTAATCATACGATTTAGAACAACAATGGACGAATTCATGGACTGATATCATGTCTTAATTTCCTCACTCCAGACTCTTCTCAGTATAAATAGTATATATTCATCCTTTGGTGCAATCATACAAATATCAAAAGTCTAGTCGATTCACCGGTTAAAATCACAGATATCCTTCTCTAGTACAAATATATTCTGATCGGACAAATAATACGAATTACAAGTGCGAATAAGTAACAAGACAACACCGTTGGATGCCGGCTCAGTGGTCTATCGGTTAAGTGCTCCGTTGCGAAGCTGGTAGGTCCCGGGTTCGAATCTCGCGGGTGCGGGATCATGGATGCGCACTGCTGAGGAGTCCCATAATGGGACGAAACGGCCGTCCAGTACTTTCAGGTTTTCCATGGTGGTCTAAGCTCCAATTGACTCATGATCTCAACTATGAAAAGACAACAATTCATATATTTCATAATTTAAATCAGAACAATTAGAGACTGTATAAATTATCTAGTTACACTATGATAATAGTTTACAATGAACTTACTTAATTGTAATGATTGAACTGAGGATGATGATGGTGAAAGACAAATATTCAATTGATTTTGATGTTGTTCAATATGGTCAAGCAATTGTCTAGATTCTGAATGTTGTTGTTGTACTTGATGATAAAGATGATGTTGTGAATAACAAACATTACAGTTACCTTTTGATTCATGACAATTACTATTGTTATGTTGATCATGTAACTGTTGATATTGATGATGATGACGTTGACTTTGTTGATTGTTAGTTTGTTGTTGATGATAGTTTTGTTGTTGTTGATATTTTGATAAATTTCCTTTCTGTGTTGTTATATTCAATAAACGATCATGATTCATTGATGGTATCATAGAAATACCAGATGGTTTTATATTGTTATTATTAGTGTTGGTATTATCAGCAATGATTAGATTGCTACCATTATTGTTATACAATGAAGGGAATAATAATGAATCTGAAAAATTTCCTAAACCTAATCGATTAGCATCGAAACAACATATAGATGATGAAGATTTGTTGGAATTGTCGCACTCAGTGCTATTATTTACTGGAAGATGTTGATGTTCAGCAATAAATAAATTTGAATCAACATTGATACAGTTAGTTATTGTTGTGGTGTTTACCGATGACGATGAGATAGTAGTATTACTAGGTCCTCCACATTCTGTACTTAATGTGTGCATAGACATATTCATTGGTGCTGGTGTAATTGGTGAATATTGACTGCTAATACCAAGTTGTGTTTGATAATTTGGTTCATTAATTAATTGTAAAGGTTGAGGTATTGGACGGTGAAAACTAGATTTATGTGCTTGTTTTCGTTGTTGTGTTGACCAAGAGAAGGATGATAGTGGTGGTGAAGACGACGATGATGATGATGATGATGAAGACAATAAAGACGAATTAAGTATAACTGATGATGAGACATGAGGAGGTTCGTTGTTGTTCAGTTTTAATAATGATGTCTAAAAAGTGAAAACAATAAGCATATCAGCGATCACTAACATCATGATCAATACTTGCTTGTACTTGATTTGTGTTAGCAGAACACTACTATCGGTCCGACTTAAACCAATAAGCACTAGGGAACGAATAATGTAGATGCTAAGAGGTTCTCATATAAATTGTGTATATATTCTAATATTTCTAGTAATATATTTTTTTATTTGAAATATTAGAGTATACACAGTTGGTTCCTGATCCCTGTTCTAAATTGCGAAGAGTCATATGAAGTATCGTGGTTAGGGGATTCTACACAGTAGAAAAAGAGGTTAATATAACATTAGAACAATACAATTGTGTAACATTTCCATGACTGAATGATAGTATTAGATTGACTTGCAACATTCATTGCCGGTTTACAATTTTATTCATAGAGGAAGTCTAGACGATTATTGATATGGTTTACGTTAACTTAACAGGTCAGAAGTATATTGTATCTATTAAGATTATTCGACGAATATTAGAACGATGTTTAACTATACAAAGTACACTTAATCAGTCAGTCAGTAACAACGTAGAACTTCGTACGTACATCAGTTCGAGTTGTCATACCACCTTAGCACAGAGATGCAGTTGTCGATTCAAATCCCACAGTGGTAGAAGTTGTAAGAGTATAAGCAGTAATATCAAAGATTAGGGTCGACATTTTCTAACCCCACACCTCCTTGTAGGAAGGCAGCATCACTGTTATACTGGTTATCTGAAGGAAACACATTACTACTGTCACACCTTTGTACAGTCGGCAGTACGACTTCGCCTTCGGACCTTGAGTTTACTGCTTTCAGTCTTACCGCTCTTCAACCGACCTGTCTGGTATGGTAGGACATTGAGGAACGGTTGTTCCAACTAGTATAGCTCGATTGGTTCATCACGTTAGGCAAGCCCGACCACCGCATCAAGGTAGCAGCAACACTTAGTTAAAAAATGATCAGTAATATTAATTAAGAAAGAACTTTAAGGCATCAAATGATGATAGATAGAATCGACAATTTCAACTTACCAAATGAATATTTGGTGGCATAATATTATTATCATTATTAATATTAGTAGTATGTATCATATGTTTTTCATCAAAGAAAGCAGTAGTATTTGTAGGATTCTTTAATTGAAAATTTGGTAACACTTTTAAATTATTATTATGATTCGATGATTGTATATGTTCAATAGATGACCATTTCTGATCAAGTATATGCATATCTATTGGACACTGAACATCATTATCATGATTACTATTTGTAGAGTTTGAAATTGGATGCCACCAATCATCATTATTCATTAAACCAAATAATTCAGATCGTTGTGATGAAGAATTAAGAAATTTATTATTACAAGTTGTAATGATTGAATTAGATAAACAATGAATTGATGATGGTAAAGATGTATGTTTTATGGATGGTGTTGTACCCTGATCTGTTATTAACATTGTTCTTTCAAATGGAAACGATGTGTTGATTGTCAAAGGAAACTTTTCATTTCGTGATAATAATGAACAACTACCATTCGATATGGTTGTTGATGTTGGCGTAGTAGTTTTTACCAATGAGGTTGAAGAAAATGCTGAACCAAATTTTAACACAGATGATTCATCAACGGATACATGATGATGACTTTTATTATTAACATTATCAGTAATGGTATTATTAGTAGTATGAGTATCTTTTTTAATAATATCAACAATATGATCAAATTCTGACGAATTTATGCGAAACAGTTGTTGTTGTTGTTGTTCTTGTCCTGATGTATGATTATCATTTTGTGATAACCATGAATTATTATGAATTGATGTTGAACATGCTGATGTAAATATAGGCTGATGATGTTGACAATGATGACAACTAACTACAATATTTGATAAAGACTCAGTTTGATGATCAAATGTTAACTGTGACTTTTGTTGTTGACTTAACATATTAGGGCTATTACAACAATGATCAATTAATGAAGTGTTATAGGATGATTCTAATATTTGTTTGTTAAGTGGATATGACCAAGTATTATTATCATTATTAATATTACTATTCATCGGATGATGACGATGATCATGACTATTAGATGACTGTATTTTCAAATCTGAAGTATTTGGTGATGCACTAACCAAGTCGAATAGAGTGGAACTAGGTGAATTCACATTTGTAATGGAATTATTTGATGTTATTGTTGTATTAGTAGCTCTTGTTGTCGATAAATCGGTCGAATTGGAAGGATTTGAAGAAGCAGTTGTAGTCATCACAAATGTAGTAGGTTTAGTATTTGCTCCAACAATACTTGATAAAACAGAGTCGCAGTTATTTTTTGATGCCTATATTTATCAACAGATTAATAAACAAGAGCGACATTATTAATGTCAGCGAGATTTATAAGGATGGTTGAACTTCATAGATTGCATTACAAACTGACGTTAGTTAGACAAGCACTGGAAATCATGAAAAATTGAACAGCATTCCTGTAGTAGTGTAGGATCTCCTAGAAATGAGAGATCACATTTTGTAAGACCCGGAGGTCCTCAGTCCGATCCCTAGTAAGACCGTGAGTGAATACTGTTGAATACTGTTAAATACCAGGACAAAACTAACTAAACTTGGTCAGCGACGTACAATATGAAATAAGAATATTAGCAAACAGCTGCTTAATTTGTTTTAAAAACCTACAGACGACCAGGTGTAATCTAGGAGGAACAACTTAATAATGTCTCTTCTGAACGAAATAATGAATAAAGCAAGTTTAAATTTCTTGAAGAAGATAAATTCTATTCAGAGGACAGAAAAATTACAAAAAGATTGTGCGATTGGCCCCAAGCAATTGCCCGTTGAATATTGGGTTTAATATTGGTTATTGGAACGAAAGCTACAAACAGCTTCAATAATTAAAGTGAAACTCGGACATATTTCAAAGTAAACTCACACCACGAAATGATTTTGATTTATGATGAAACACATTTCCGTGAAGAACGAACCACTATCCAAAAATAACAATTATATGCTAACTGGTAACTAATATGAAGATATTCGTGAAACTCAAGCAGGAAATCATCATTATAACGTTCATCCTTTCGAGAGTGAGATAGTATCACAGTAATGTTAACACATTTACGAAGTACAGATTCGAGTGATATCCGAAATTTGAAGCCTCATACACGGCTACAAGAAATTCTACTAGCCACTGCGCCTCCCACAAAACTTCATGGATTACCTCACAAAATTAGTCTCCAGTGAGAATATACTAATAACTAATGTAGAAAGCGTACGAAGATTGTCTACTACATTGTGGTTTTAAAGATCAGCTCGTGTGTAAACTATGGCGGTGTATGGTGCGGTGTCGCATTCAGATTGGTCGGCAAGGCGTTTTTGAGGAGAGTCTATGTAGGCCCTTCTGGAATGAATTCCGTGTTTTCAAGGCCCACAAACCCATAGCGTGGATGTGGTTTTGTGGGGGGAACCGCAGTCCCGCAGATTTTTCCGTGTATCTTGGTATCGTAGGAAGAGCAAGCGAAGGATATTTGAAGGTTTCAATTACGCTGGATAGATATAGTCAACATGCATACTAGGTAGCAAACGGACATTCATCCGAGTATCCCCTGATATACACACAGGTATACCTACTCTGTGGGCAAAAATACGTTACAGATGCATCCCATAGCACACACATAGGTACATACACCCACTTGGTAGGGTAGATGTTCACCACTCCCTTGGAATGGTATTTGCCACAAAGACTCTCTTACACATTGCACACATACCATTAAGCCCAAGTACTTCCCAACACACATATAAGCATAAGCATTCTTTCAATGGAGGTTTTTGTTCGCCTCTCCTTAGTATTTGCTACCACATCTTTTTATTATGTATTAGACTGATAGACTAGGCTACTTATTTTACTAGGCGTAGAGCAGATAATATTTGAATTAACGTTTACTTTGTACGAGACCACATGCACACCGTTTACATATCCCTACATACTTGGACTACGTAGGCCCGAGGACTTCTGCAATCGTTATACATGAGCATACACATAAGGTGACACTGTGCGGTTACGTGAGCCTCGACCAGAACCTGAGTTCATCGAGGATACAACAGAGTGAGTGCTCAGTCCGATCTCCGCTGACCGCCTAAGTTTGCTAGTAAGGTTGAACCTACCATTCAGTAGCACCGCGAGAAGGTCTCATGTCGGATTTCGCTGTTAGTTGTAAACTATAAAACCTTTCAGTTACTATTATTACTACCATGAAATTATATTTTATATCACTACCACCGATCAGCTAACCATCAAATTAATTAGTACCAACAAAAATATGCTTACTGTAAATGCCTTTGAATGAGATTTTAAACTGAATGACTTTAGAGAGTCTATATCAGTAGATGTTGAACAGCCTTTTTTCTTGGAATCTAAAACATTGTTATTTTTCTTGACATGATCAGAGCTTGCATGAAATAAATTAAAATGTATTGGTTTATTACTTTCTTGATTATCATTAATGTCACTATCAATAGTAGTAGTATACGTTTGGTTTGATTGTGATGTCGTTGTTGTAGTGGTGGGCGTGTTATTCATCCCAATTAAACCAGCTGGCCCATAACCACCATGTAGTCGCATATGACCATTTAGAGCAGATTGATTCTTAAAACGTTTCGCACAGATAGCGCATGCTACACGTTTTGGTTCTTCTAATGGATGTGCCATAAGTAAAGCAACTTTGGCAGCATTCGCTACTTCAATTGGATTCAAAGCAAAATTGTTAATTGTTACAGTATTTTTATGATTAATGCTGGCATCATTAGCAAATAATGTTTTATTAAAAATTGTATTCGTTATGGTTGGTGTCAGTGTTCCACTTGCTGATGATATTGTCGTTGTGGTGGTGTCCGACAATTCGTCAGTGATTACATTTATTGTATTCTCACTTTCCATATTGATATCCATCATATTATCATTATTATTATTTGGAGAGATTGGTTTAGAGAGAGAATTGGGTGAATGACAGACAATTCGTGATGGTGATGATGATGACGAACGATTGGAACGTAGAGATTTTTCGCCGGCATTTTGACTAGTTGTTGAGATTGACTGTTTTGATGACTTAGCATTATCTATACAATATGCAAACACATAAATGAATATAGGGAAATTGAAGAAAAAACTGTGAATACTTTTAGCAGCACATAGTTCAGTGATTGTTTGTACTTATTTTTTCGTAGGAAAGGCAGTTGTAAATGACCAATAATTTAAGCATTAAAGATTTTACTTCTATTTTACAATGGATAAATAATTTTCTCAATCACGTTTAGATGTGCATATTGAATGGCATGCCTTCATGTAGCCAAGTTTTAGAACATATGGATTGTGAATGATAATGAAACCCATGACAGGTGTTTTGTGCTATTTCAGATTCATACAAGTGGATGTACCTAGTTGCACCTTAGTGTTGGAGCTCACACTGAAATACGAACTTATGAACTTTCACCTTAAACGTCAACCTGTCACCTGCTGCGTTCAGATAACTTAACCAATCACTAAATTTTTCAAACGGTCTGATGATTCATACTAGAAGTGCGGATTTGTATTGTTATTAATACTATTATTTATATTGTCCATTCACTGACTCATTGGATAACGCATTCAGAGTCTGAGGTGAAATGTATTGGGTTCTAGCTTCAGTGTGAGTAACAAAACTTGAATACAGATATGTCCAGTTGACCAGTCATAAATAGGACAAAACGTATGTTCTAGATTCCATTACTAGTTATAATCTGCATGTACTTTTAAACCTGATCACTGAAGGAATGTATGGAAGAGTTTGACTGGAATTCCAGACCACAACTGATTTAAGATTCAGATAATTTAGTATAATCCCAGAATGAATTAATTGAACGCTACTGCGGTGCTTGCTACTTATTCTGTCAGATATAAGTAGTATGCAGCCTCAGTCGGCAGTGAGATACCTGGCAGCAGAAGATGGATATAAGGAGAACAGAAGGAAATAGGAGAGCAATTGAAGTAACAACAGAATTGAAGGAATAATGGAGTGTGTATATGACAATGCAAAAAAAGATGTGGAAGTGATGTAAGTAATGTATGAGTTTCATATTATTCGAAACCACTGTCCGATTTTGCATCACACAATTAATTGGTTTTTCCCATTTGAACTATACAAGTACGTATTGATTGAGTTATTAGACGTGTTCCGTATCTACCTACATAATTGATATCCATATTTAGTCAATATATTAAACAAGCTAGAATATTGGTAAGATAAAGGTACAGAGTCGAATCATAAACTTCCTCTGATTGACAATTATTTAGTGAATCATAGGCGTATAAGGTTAGTTTCTAGTTGTATAGAAAAGGTATGTATTATGTAACACCAATCAGAAGTCGAGTGGCTGGCAGCAGGTGACTAAGAAGATCGGATTGAAGAAAACAGAAAGGAATGGAGAAGTGAAAGAATTATGAAGGATGTAAAGGGCAATTGATGAAAGATTTGCAAATGAAGTATTTAATATATGATCTTTACATTTTACCAAAGAACTCTGTCGCTTTGCGTTACAGAATAAACTGTTTGTTTCCACATTAGTTCTCATTCATCTCAGGCATATATTTGATAAAATTAAAACAAATTCGATCAAGCTTAAGCTGTTGTATTCACTTGTCACATTTCTCTAAATCTTGAGAATTAGAATAATGTGTATAATTTCCATTTTTCTGTTACCTTTATATTTTCCTAGCTGAAATCATGAGTCCATTGAAGCTAGACCACCATGGAAAACCTAGAAGCACCGGATGGCCCGCTCAGTGGTCCTGGCTTCGAATCTCGCGAGTGCGGGATCGCCGATGAGCACTGCTGAGGAGTTCCATAATAGGTCGAAACGGCCGTCCGGTGCTTTCAGGTTTTCCATGGTGGTCTAGCTTCAATTGACTCATGATCTCAACTATGAAAATACTGAAATCTCCACAAAACCCCTTCTGATTTCCTTTATATTCCTGTAAACATTTTATCCTTTCTTATCCATTTTGCTAATTATTTGTGTATTGAATGTTTACAACAGATCGACTTGTTCTCTGATTCCTTATTTCTTTTTAATGTCAGAAGAAAAACAACATCGTTTTTATCATCAACTGAGATCAGCTACACAACTCATTTCATTATCAGTAGCGTAGAGCACGGCATATGTATACAGAGTAGTTCAAATTTCTACATCATGTCAATAGAGCCAGATGAAATTATTAAGATGACCAAAGACAAAGCTTTATACTGGTACCAGTATCAGTGGAAGTGGAAAAGATTACGCTTAAACAATATGATTGAAGAATAGAAGAAAATGAAATAGTGAAACAGGAAAGTATAGGACAAGATCATTCGGGAAACAAAGCTGAAACGCATCCGCTAGATATCAACTGTTAATGATGATAATGATAATAGTCTCAAGAACCATTGTCAACCAGGAGTATATAAAACAAGTAAACATTTTCTTAAGTCGAACCAATGAGCTTTTCAAATTACATTAACATTTAATGCTGAAAGATCAACATTACATTCTATTTCATGGTATTTGTCTCTCACTCTTGACATATACTACTTATTTGTTTGCATTACAAAACCTGAAAATATTACGAGTTTCTTCCAGATTATGGCTAAGTTACTATTGAATGACTTTTGATTTGAAATCATTATCTTAGTTGATATGCTGTATTTGGTGCTGGATAATAAGATTCTACATTATCTACAGAAGGCTATGATATTAACAATTAAGACAAGAAATCATGGAAAGATGGAGGTGTGGTAGTGGAAACTCAATTTCTTCCCGCTTTATTTATTTTTACGTCTATATATTATTGTTGCTTAAACATATAAATATTGGTACAAGGAAGCACCATATACATATGCGCCTCACAAATTTCATTTGATTTGTGTGAGGGCAGAGATACTGCTCAGGTGCATAAATTGATGCAGGTGGTTTTCTCAGGGGGCCACACCTGGAGTATTTCACCTAAATGTCTGATCCACAAGGCAGTGGAGCATCGTGAGGAGATGCAGTTCCATGGTAGCCCATGACCAACAATTGACTCATACGCCATTTATTCCTTCAGGATACTGGAATCAGTCCATATGCACCATTGGTTTGGAATCAGGGTTTTCCAACTCCCTTATGTGAACTTTCTGTGTCTACCAAACCGGTTGAAGCACCGTTCATTCACTTTTAGTCCTCTCAATTTCGTAAACAACACCCGTGGTGAGATAACGCAGTGAGTAGGACTTCCATGACAGAGGTTATATACGCGTGGACATGTGAGAGCATTTCGAGAGGGAGAGCGGACATTCTGCACTCTAGGCCGTACCAGGGCATTTAGGGGCTTTTTTGTGCATGATGATCAATCCAATGGCAGCAACAAAATGAGTTCAATTATTTTACTTCATAGGCTTCAATCAATAAGCTAATAATAGTATTAACAATATATATATATAGATAGATAGATAAGGTACCTACCTACCTACATATCAAAACACAATGGCAACAATCAAAGTGGGGGTGTGTGATAATATTATAAAAACATTTTTGAACATATCTTACTTTGATTTATGTATTAAACAATAAATTATGCCTATTCCATTCCATCTTACTAAATTTAGTAGGTTCGTGCTGTCTGTTTGTTTATTTATTTTTTTTTTAAATAATCTAATTTTATTCTGATTAATGAAGATCATTTTCATCTCTAATTATATAAATTCTCATTTGTTTATTTATTTCTATTCAGATTGTTTAAAATCAACTATTCAATATTCATATATATAATTGAAATCATGAGTCAATTGAAGCTAAACCACCGTAGAAAACCTGGAAGCACTGAACGGCCATTTCATCCTATTGTAGAACTCCTCAGCAGTGCGCATCCACGATTCCACCTCACGAGCGAGATTCGAAGCCAGGACCTACCAGTCTTAACTGATAGACCACTGAGCCGGCATCCGACAGTGTTAATGTCTAACTTCAACCAATCCACGAAGATGAGCAACCACTTCACCATTGTCTTCAGTGAGTTGATATCTCCCAACAAACCTGGTTGAACTCCACTGGTTACTGCTTCTCACTAGAACTCCAGAAAATACCTCATGGAGCCAGTCACTAATGAGCATATGATAAGGCGGTTTTCTGTGGAGATTTTAAGTAATATTATATATACTTGAAATCATGAGTCAGTTGAAGCTAGACCACTGTAGAAAACCTGGAAGCAATATTCAATAATTAATTTTTTGTGTGTTTTCGAAATGATTAGTTATAAATATTTTATTGTTGTAATTGTAAGTTTTTTTTTGGTTGGATTTACAACTAAAATATCCTTTACTTACTTACTCACGCCCGTTACTCCCGATGGAGTATAGGCCTCCAACCAGCACTCTCCAACTCTCTCTGTCCTGGGCCTCTCTTTCTAGTTCTATCCAACTTTTGTTCATTCTTCTCATGTCTGTCTCCATTTCTCGGAGTAATGTGTTCTTTGGTCTTCCTCTTATCCTTTGGCCTTCAGGATTACATGTGAGGTCTTGTCTTGTGACGCAGTTTGGTGATTTCCCTAAAGTGTGTCCTATCCACTTCCAGAGCTTCTTCCTGATTTCTTCCTCCACTGGAATCCGGTTTTTTCTCTTTTACAGTAGGTTGTTGCTGATAGTGTTTGGTCAACGGATCCGAAGTATTTTGCGTAGGCAACTGTTAATAAACATCTGTATCTTCTTGATGATGACTTTCGTAGTTCTCCAGGTTTCCGCCTCATACAGTAGAACTATCTTGACATTTGTATTGAAAATTCTGATCCTGGTGTTGGTTGACCATTGTTTCTAGATGTTCTTCAGTTGTATATAGGCTTTGCCGATCAGCGTCTTCACATCTGCATCAGATCCACCGTGTTCATCAATGATGCTGTCCAGAAAATATCTCTTACGGCTTGTAAATTATAGTAAATCAATTATAATTGTGGTATACTGTTCAGTTTTCTGCTATAAATGTTCATATTTGTGCAACATATTGAGGTATATTTAGTTAGTATGAGGGATTTATCTAGATTGTATTATTTTTACAGTGGAATTGAGAAAATGATC